GACTTAGAACAGATACCAGTTATAATGATAAACCATGCCATAAAACCCCACTTTAATCATACCGTTTCAGTTTTTAATCATTCTGATCAGAATATACAGTAGAGATATTCGTGCTCCACCCACAAATGCATTCTATCATAACAACTGTTGGACAAGCTTTACAGAATGCTAACAAAAATTGCATCGAACCTGAGAAACTGTAGCACACAACTTTTTGTCAAAGTACCTAAATTCTAAATTCTACATATATGTGTGTGTATATACATATAAATATAAATTATATATATATATATATATATATATATATATATATATATATATATATATATATATATATATATATATATATATTAGCTACAACATATATATATATATATATGTATATATACACCAACACACACACACACACTATATGCAGTTTCTAGTTTAAATGGGCCATAAAGCTGGATTTTGCTGTTGTAGCTAATCAGACTGGAAACGACAACAATTTGCCAACATGCTAACATTAGCTCAATAAAGTATCCTAAAAGTGTTGAAAATATATATAATTTGAAAGTAATTATGTACGTTAATATTTGATGCTAGAATTCTTCATTACTCATTAAGTTAATAATAATAATAAATAATAGTAAAATATTTCACAAATGATAAAAAATTACTTTAGTGACTGCATTTATATTAAATTAACAGAGCTCAGAGTCTAAGATGACACCCAGGTTTCATACTTCATGTTTGGTATACAAAGCTAAAGAACTGAGCTTCTTATAAATCAGCTTTCTCTGAGTTCTAGTACCAAGGATGAGTATTGCAGTTGTTTCATGATTTAGTTGCAGAACATTTTGTGACATCCACTGAGAAATATCTGACACACAGCTGGTGAGCCTGTCAAGAGAGCCTTGATCATCAGAAGGAATAAAAATGTATAATTGTATGTTGTCAGCATAGCTATGAAAACTGATATCATGTTTCCTAAAGACATCACCAAGAGGTAACATGTGCAAAGAGAACAGCAAAGGCCCTAAAACTGAACCTTGAGAGACTCCACAAGTTAAAAGTGAAAAGAAGTAAAACAAGCAAAAACAAAAAACAAACAAACAAAAAAACACATTTGTTGGTGGAGCATGGATATAGGCTCCTGCTACAAACTCACTGCAAAGTACACTCCAGGTCAAGACATATTTGAGATAGTGCTGAGTAGTGCTGGAGATAATTTCAAATGTATTCAAACTGTATTTTTTGCCTTTACAGAAATACAAGAGATTTTTTCAATAAAAAGTCTATCAGTGGTATTAGTAGGCAATATATGTGTGCACCCACAACTTACTTGTATCTGTAACACAGTTGGCGAAATAAGTGATTCTGATTTTATAGGAAAATAATTAGCACAATATTTTCTTGTTAAAAAAAATCATGATTTTCAAATTATATCTCCAACCTCCCCACCCCCAAACACATGGTCTCCTGCCATTTAGACCTACTTTCTACTCTGTATTTTGTTGGTTTTTGTATGGTTTTTAAATAATCTTTAATAAAAATCTTTGATGAAAATCACAGATTAATTAATGTAATACTGAATAACTTTTTCACCAATTGCTTTAAGAGGATACTGCAAACAGTGCATTCGTTAGCTCCTGCTGGATTAGGCTCATTGCTCTTTCTTCTCTTTGAACAAAGAACACAAACGCATGACTTACATGCATATTCTCCCTCTTAATGAACAATTTCGGATAGCTAAAGGTGTGTAAGAGATTTCCAAAGCATGTCCACGTGCTTTATATGTTAAAAACCTGGAATTTAGCTGTAGATTACCGTGGGAAAACATTAAGTATCATAATTTCATCATTTTACAAATCATCTCAACCATTTGGACATTAGAAAGGGGGAATATAGCAGACAGTGGGGAATTTACTGTACTGTAGCCTAACAAAACATGGCAATGATTAATTGTTGTAAAGGTAAAAAGAAATAAAACATCATATGTGCATATTATTTAATCTAGTTTAGCAAACTGTTTAACCTTAAATCAGTCCTCCACAGTTCTCTGTCAGTTCTCTTTCCCAACGCAGTGATTATCGCCTTTGAATCATCCTCATTGGCTTCTTTGTCAATCAATGCTGATATTCATTTGCATTACCTTATCGCCCAGGCCTACAGTATAGTACCTGTGGTGAAATGATTTCAGCATATCGCTGCTGTTGGAACAAAACCTCGTATCTCCATTTTTGTCGTTTTTCAGTTTTTGACATAATTTGAAAAAGCCTGTTGGCCTTTGCATTTCTTGAAAAATTTTGTGATGAATGGGCCAAAAGAACTGACCCAGGGCTACTATGAAAAAAGTCTGTTTCCATTGACTTACAATAAATGTAAAGTATGTTTCTTCCTTTTCCTGTAAAGTTAACATTTTGGAGACATGAGGTTTTGTTATGACAGCAGTGATATTTTAACATGATTGTGATAATATCGAAAAATGTAAACTTTTTGGTGACTAATATCATGATTTTTCATAATTTTCATGTCGTCCCATTCCTACTCACCATGATATTCTTCTGCTTCGGCTAGAGCTTGGGTCACTTTAAGTCCTGAATGAGGTTACATAATGATTTTACGTCACAGGAAAAAATAAAGCCCACTCAGAGCAGGGCTGCAGACTTGGCAGTGCATTGATATGGAATAAAGTCTGGTCTGAATCTGGCCACTCATTCACAATCTGCCTTTCATTAGCTGCAGAATGTCAGTTTACTTGTGCACACTCATCTGGATTCCTGCACTCATTAGTTGATGTGCACTTTGCCTTGCATGTATTACTGTAGTAGACACTAATGCAAAAGTAATGCAGATATTCATAACTCCTGCAGCTTCAGTAGGCCAGTGGATTTCAAAGCCACAGCTGAAGTGGCTCAGCTGATGATTCACTGCTTCACAATGCAGGCGCTTCAACACTGAATCAACTAATGGTACAGATTTGTGGCTTTGACCGTAAAACGCTGGAGCCTGTTTCCTGTAATCTCTCTTTCAGACCTGCAGTGCTGCCCCACTTCTGAATGAACTGCTTTCTTCTGAACTGATTCTCTCAATAAACCTACGGAACTGTATCACGTGTTGATTAAATCAAACTTTTTTTTGTAGTATTTATTGTCTACAACCATGCTATACGCCACAGATGTCTAATGAAATTCAACTCATAATATTTCACAATTAAACCCCTTATATGGCCAGAGCCCTAAGTTTTATTGCACACTTCTATAAACTATGAATAGCTCAGTCAGTTTGTATTGAGGTCCCTGTAGCTACTGAATTATAAGCCTTAGTATGTAATAGGCCTGGATTTTAAGGGGTTAAGCTCATAAAATCATTATTCATCATGACACAATGTGACATATTAAGGCATTAACCCCTTAAAATCCCAGGCTTATTACATACTAAGTTTCATTATTCAGTAACTACTGGGACTTCGATGCAAACTGGTTGAGCTATTCTTAGGTTATAGAAGTACTAAAACTTTGGACCCACCAGTGCGGCCTGGCCATCTAAGGGGTTAAACATGTAAGGTCATGGCATTCACAGAATAATTTGCTATCTCTTTGGATTCACCTCCCTCTGTGGATTTTACAGCCCTCATTCACTTGGCCTAGCCATGTCCACTGGGCAGATTCCCCAACTCCATCTTAAGGGCTGTCCTATTATTTAACTAGCTCAAGTGAAGTTTAAGGGCAGAGGAATGAAGTGTCAACTTCTGTAGCAGAACTTGCCCAGAAATTAGTGCAATCTGATTCATTTACCTTTTCAAATCACCCCCCTGCAAAAAGAAAAATGCTTATTAAAAATGCTGCTTACAAACCACAGCACTAAGCTGCTTAAATATGCTTAATATTTCAAAACCATAGCATTCGATTTGCTGAACCTTGGGTTGCAAACTACTCCATCTGCTCATCTGCAACATTATTACTTTTCTCTGCTAGCATGCTAATCAGCAAGCTTAAGTCTACACAGCTAACTATGTGCACTTCGTGTCGAGTAAAAGTTGACGGGGTATTTTTAAAAAGTACTGAAACCAACTCTGTGAGTAGTTAGCAAGACTAACTTTCTGTGCTGAATGTCCTTGTATATGGAGGAGAGGACATGGATGGAAGATGGAATCTCAAAGAATTAGGCTGAATCTCAGTTGGCCCCCTACTCCCCTTATATAGTGCACTATATAGTGTCATTTATAATATTCTGGCTTCTACACCCAAATAGAACAAAATTGTCCAATATAGAATTGTGCACATGTGGCTGAATCCAAAATAGCTACTTGTTAGACATGATGCCCTATTTAAATGTGGGAGCCAGTATTTTTCACATTTTGAATTTTGTGGTGCACTTTGTAGGGAGTGGAGAGCCTTTTGAGATTTAGCCTTGGTAATTGGCTACTTATCTCATGCATCTCTCTTCTGTATGATCTTAGTCTCTTGGTTTTACTTGGTAAACATGTAAACGAATCCTGCTGTGTCCTAGCTGCACCATCCAGTGCGGCCCAGAGGAGGATGCAGACTCTTTTTGAGTCTTGGTTCGGTGGTTCTTCCTAATGCTTTTAAAGAGGTTTTCCTTTAGAGGCTCAGGCGTTCTTCCTTGTGCTCTTAGAGAGGTTCTCCTTTTGAGGGCTTAGTTGTTCTTCCTCATGTTCTTAGAGAGGTTCTCCTTTTGAGGCTCAGAGGTTCTTCCTCATGCTTTTAAGGAGGTTCTTTCTTTAGAGGCACAGGGGTTCTTCTTCATGCTCTACAAGAGGTTCTCTTTTTAAGGTTCAGAGGTTCTTCCTCATGCTTTAAGAGAGGTTCTCCTTTTGAGGCTCAGTGGTTCTTCTTCATGCTCTTCATGTTATTCATGAGTGAGATGCAGCTATTTCTGGAAATATTTTGCTGGACCTGGTCCTGGTCCTGACGACGCAGCACTGCTGCCCACTAGTGGCCATATGCTTTATTACCCTGAAAACATTGCACAACTTCTGGAAAAGTCCAAAGCCACGAGGATATGAATCACACCGCCCACAGCCTCCGGTATAAATAGAGAGGCAGGAGCCTTCCAGCTGCAGGAGGAAGAGCGCGCGTACATCCACAGCTGGGTAAGTGCTGCATTGTTTACAGGAGAGAGAGAGAGAGATGATGGGTTGAGGGTGCATAGATGCCTTTGCGGAACATGCATCTGAACCTGCATTAATATAATACCATAGCTAATCCGGATGCATCCTCACCTTTTTGTTTTTAGTTATTTTAACAGTGTACGTGTCCTTCATTAATAACAGCGCATGCATGCATCTGTATACGTCATTAAAAATGACTTTATTAATACATGCCCGTATGTATGTGTTTATTTATTTATTTTCTAATCTCCCTATGAACGTTTTGCGCAGCTATATTATTTACATTTTAACACTTTTGTAAACATAAAAACAATGCATGCATTTTTAATGCATATTCTAAAGCTGTGTTTTGTTGCATGTCTTATTCTGCACAACACGTTGAAAACAGTGAATGCTCATGGTTGAAAACCACGTAAACAGCATTGCTCATCCTACTCTGCACAGCATGACCAAGCATTAAATAGATACATAGATAGATAGATAGATAGAAAGACAGATAGATAGATAGATAGATAGATAGATAGATAGAGATAGACAGATAGATAGATAGATAGATAGATAGATAGATAGACAGACAGATTTAACTAATACTCCTGCAGTGTTGTCCCGTGATTGAGGGCAGTCAGTTGAACTGTGTTTGTGTGCATCTTGCCTGAGAGAATGTGTATTGATTTTTCAATGCAGAGGGGAATTTGACTCCCTGTCCCAAATGGTGGTGGTGGTGGTGGGGTGTGTGTGTGTGTGTGTGTGTGTGGGGGGGCGCACAGGGTCAGCTGCGTCCTCACTGCAGCACAACTTCAGCCTCATGAAAACAAGCAAATCCCTCCCAGCTTAGGCCAGACCATCTGCAGAGTAGAGCAGAGCTGCTTTACTTTAATATAACCACTCCTATTTTTTTCTGTTTATCCTTGATCTCTTCAAAACAGAGGCTGTGAAGCATTAAACACTGTCCAGAATGTACTGTAGCAAAAGCAGATAAGGCAGAGTTAAACATGCACAAGAGAGGCTACATAAAGCAGCAAAATGACAAATGTAAAAGTGTTAAGACAACTGAAGTTAAATAAATGAAATATCATGAGCTGTGCTGCGTTGGCCTGCACTGTCCCACAGTGTACAGCCATCAGCTCATATTGTCCACATCTCTGCAGGGAGTTCAGAGGGCTGTGTGCTTCTTATGTAACTAAGGCTCCCTGCTTTAATCTGGCAAAAGTTCTGAGCTTTTCTGCATGCACTAACTCAGCATGCAGGTACTCTGCAGAAAACAGTTCTATCAGCCAACCCCACGTCACTAGCGGTACCATAAGTGGATTATCAGAAACGGGTTGAAAAGGCACCAAAAAAGTGTTCTTCTATTGTCACAATGTCAAGCTTGTAATAAAAGAAGAACCCTTTTTTGGTGCTATATAGAACCCATTTCAACAAAGTTCTATATACAACCCTTTTCAACACATTCACCATCAATCTGAAGAACCCTTTAATGATGCAAAGAACGCTTCTATAAATGTTATAGAACCATTTTCTTGACTAAAGAACCCTTGAAGAACAGTGACTCCTACTCTGAGAAGCTTCATAAAAACAATAGTAGGGTGTAGTTTGAGTTATTCAATGAAACTGGTTTTTAAGCTTAGCGTTTAAAAAATTGGATTGTATCAGCTGATACACCAGAAAAGAAATGAAAAAGTGGTATCCTGCCATCTCCAATGACTCTCTGGGTCAACCCCTTAGCAGTTAGTACATGACTAGCATAACAGTTCCAGTCAACCCATGTAGCTAGGAGTTAACATGACTAGTCATAAGTTTCTCATTAAAATGGACTGTGAACAAGTGAGCATCTTTGACTATGACACAATTTATCATCATTATCATCATTATCATCATCATGATCTAGTCCATGTATGGACAGAGTGCAAATGAGGAAAATAGCCTGAGGGAAAGTAATTCAGCTGCGTATGTACTCACATGCACACACAAGCATTTTCAAACAGATATAATATACTCTAACCTAGGGTGCTGGATTCAGTAAAATATTAAATCACAATACTACAAGATATTTTCACAATGCTTAACATGCATCAGGATGTTTAGTTTTTTTAGAGGTTTGATAAGCTTGAATAGAAAAAAGAACCACTAGTGCCAAAATACTGTTAAAAACTATGAATACAGTGACACTCAGTCCAATGAAACAGGACTAATTATGCTGTCTTTTTTTAATAAAACATGCAGTCAGTATTCTAACAATATCTCCCACATACTCAGTAAAACAAGTGACAATGTGACCTTGACAACAATAAATAAGATCATGCTGCCCACCCGTAACACCACCACACACAGACTAAAGCTTATCTGAATTGTAATGAAAGACTGGGGTAGCACAATTGTTTTCTTTCTAAACAGGCAGAAGATATGTACACAGTTTTAGAGGAAAGTTTGCTAAACCACACAAGAATCTTCTGCTTTGTCTCTGGTGGTTGCTGATAATTGAGGAAAGCTGATAAAGCTCTCAAAGCTGATAAAGCTATCAGCAAGAAGCAGGGGTGTTATTGGAATTTACACAATATTAACTGCAAAATCGCTGAACAAGAGTAAAAACATTTAGAATATATTCTAATAATACAGTGCTGTTCCATATGTTAGAGTCACCATTCAAAGGTTTGAAATGTTTTCAGTAATATAACCCATTTTTAGCAGATCAATATAAAGCATACTGCCAAACATTTTTCTTGGTTTCAATAATTTGTAAAAATATATAATAAATTTCCTGTGTGTTCAAGGTGTCCAGAAAGATTGGTAACAACTGAGAAAGCTGTAGAACACTGAGAATGAAGTAATAATAAATATAATATCCAGAATTAAGATTAAATTATTATCTAGAATGCCTCGGATGTTAAAAGTGGTGATGAAATCATCAATCATTGAGGCAGAGAATTTGAAATGCAATTGCAAATTTTCTAGGATTATATATATGTCCTAGACACCAATGTATTTTTCAATGTATTTTTCAATGCTGTTGTCATGAGTAGTGTTGCCCCCCTGCTGGGTCTTATCAGCATTACAAAAACAGAGAAAGTCACAGACAGTGGTCATCTGTTCCAGAACTAATAATAGCCCAAACACAAAGGAGCTCGCACTTGCTGGTAGAGAGTTAGAGCGTCTATGGCACGATGACTTGCACAATTGAAGTTGCTGCGGGAAAATAACCACATGCTGTAAACGTTACATAATGATAATAACAATCCAGCATGTTTACTTTCAAATGAAAAGTCAGTCTTGTGTCACTTTAACCATGACACACTGCAAGGCACTAGAAAAGTGATTCACTGTGATGACTCTTTCTGAAAGCTTTTAACATGCTCTGTTTTTCCTTAGTGTTTTTCTACAAAGGCTGGGCTCTGAGAGTGACCAAAGATGAGGGTGTGTTGGTCATTTCTGGGCCTTTCTCTCCTCTACATCTCTGCTGAGTGTCTGCTTCCCCCCTCCAAAGAGGATCTCCAGCGTAAGCATAATGGAACTGCTGGCTGTGCTTTTCACACTCATCCGAATACAGTTTAATCTCTCAAAAAAAAGAAAAACAAAAAAACAGAGGACCTTCAAGCAATAACTTAGCAAAACTATCAAATTCACACTTTGCTCAAATTTTGTGAATCAGCCAAATGGTGTCCGAAGAAGTTTTGCACTGTAGCTACGAGTCTAATGTAGCTAACAAGCAATGAAATATTAGCATTAACAATTAACATTGTTCAAACTACATGACTAAATCACACTGGTCTCAAATGAGTTGTTCCGTAATCTGAAATAGACTTGCTTATTTATGCAGTTTTAACAAAGATTTTGACTCTCACCAATGTTTTCTTATTTGGGATTTGTTATTAGGTAAGTGTGTGAACAATACTATGGTTTAAGAACACACCATAAATCTGACATAGACTTTTTCTTAAGATCTTTCCCAAGAATACATTTAAGAAAAAACTGAAATAATGAAGAAAGACCTGTTTTTCTGTTAATGTTCCTTTTGCTTTTATTTATGTAAAGTTCATTTAATTGCCTTTGTGTATGAAATGTGCTATATAAGTAAACTTCTCTTGCCCTTGATGTATTTGGTTTCTGACACTGTATGCTAAAAACAGTAAAAAACATCTTGAATTCTATACTTTAGTCCATGTTTATAGAGAACAGTGTGTCATACAGCGTAAGAAACCACATAAGTAAGTCTATATGATGTCACTTAACGACTTAACACAGTTAGGGGAAAACGTGTGATGATTTAGGCCTGCTGTTTGCATGATATTAAGCTGGTGGAAGTTAGCTTGTTAGCTACATTAGCCTCAGTGCAAAACTTCACAGTCACCTTTCCTGATTGACTGCATTCATAGTATTGTGTAAATTGTCTTTTTTTCAGACAAACTATCATTTTCACTGTGTTTCATGTAACTGGCTCACTGTATTCGCCTGTCCACAGAGATCTCCCAGACTGGGGAGAAGTACCTGGATAAGGAGATTGAAAATGCCATTAATGGAGTGAAGGAGATGAAGACAGTGATGGAGAAATCTGAGCAAGATCACAAGAAGTTCCTCTCTTCCCTGGAGAAAACCAAGAAACAGAAAGAGGTTAGAGAGAATTTCATACTGTGGACATAAATTACTTTTCTGTTCTGTTGCATTGCATTGTCACTATTTATCATCATGTGAAAACTTATATCATATTAGATGGGACAGTAAAAGGCACCTTTCCTTCCAGAAAAAAAGAAGAAATTACATAAAAACCCTGCAGTACAAACAGGTTTAAAGGATAACAGTAAAAAACACTTTTTTTTTGCTTTGTTATAATATTCATTAAGTGCTGATGGATGAATCAACTATTTGAACAACTTATTAGTCTTACAGTAATGTCTACCATTAAACTGATATTAATAGAGCTGATTATTAGATTATTATGTAAATGCTCATGAAGCATAACAGTTTTTATAAAAGGAATAATTCCAGTTATAAAATCTGATTGGTTGTGCTATCAACTCTATATTAATGCACTATTAATTAAAAAAGGAATGATCTTTTATCATTACTGTTAGAGCTTACTGTTAATTAACTACACTTCACAAATCAAATCACGTTTATTGTCACCTTTACACAGATGTGTCTTGGTTGCGTAGCTCCCTTGTAGTACTGAAATATACAAAAAAAAATAAGAAAAACTATATATATATATATATATATATATATATATATATATATATATATATATATATATATATACTTACACACACATTAGACTCTAAATATATACACATATACACATTAATATACACAAATATTGCACCATTCCAATGTACAGTAATATAAGTTATGAAACAAAAGCTATGACATGTATAGTTGTACACATTTGCATATATGCATTTTGTGAGGTAGATAAATGAGATGCAGGGTACACAGGGGACAGTATATATATATATATATATATTCCAGATTATACAAGATATGGATAGAATATGTACACTTTGTCAGTCTTTATGTGGAGGTATAGATTAGCTTGATTGTAGTTACAGTAAGATCTGAGTGACTCTGTTTGAGGCGTGGATGCGGTACGGACTGTCCATGGAGATCATCATGATGATTGCTTATTGTATTATTTACCTCGTAAATCACTAAAATTTAACTCAGATTGGCCAAAATCTAAACAAACGCACTTAAAGCCAAAAAAAAAACAACACAAAAACACATTCTCTGATTCTGGACTCCTTTCATTAATACATTCAAATATTTATTGTACATTGGTGTATTTTGTATGTTATCATGTCTAACAGCACCTCTTATCCATTACAAAAATGACTGTAGCGTACAGCGTCTCATTGCTTTACCTCCTGTATCTTCTGCAGGATAATTAGCTAAATTTTGTAAATTTGTGTGTTAGGATGCCCTGAAGGCCGCGCAGGATATGGAGGAGAAACTGGCTGAAGAACAGCGAGTGTGTAATGACTCTATGCAGGCGCTGTGGGAGGAGTGCAAGCCGTGTCTGAAGAACACCTGCATTAAATACTACTCCCGCACCTGCAGCAGCGGCTCCGGCTTGGTGGGCAGGCAGGTGAGACTATACGGGCCTCAAACTGTTATTGATGTATTTTACCTTCTTTACCTGTATTTCAATAGGCTGAAAAAGTTATTGTTATAGCTAAGTCACCATTTGAATGAATGCAACTTTCAATCACAGGAGCTGCAATTTTAATTATAGCCTACACTATCAACAGTGTTGTCTGAACAGATTTTAAGTGGGGAAATTTAAAGCGGTAACTCTGAGTTTTGAACTGCCGGTAGAGGCAACCAAACATCCATGTACTGGGTACAACACAACCAAAACTAACTGGCACATGTTCAGAAGGGTCTTTTGGGCCCAAAAAAAAACAGGTCTGGACCTTATTCTCTAAAAAAAAAGGCAATTTAAATTGCATTTACAATATTGGTCAGAAAAATCAGATTATTTTGCCCAAATCATTCAGCCCTACATTGTATTTCTGCTCACTGGCCACTTAAACTTCATAGCTCCACTATATAGGAGTACAGTTACAGAGCCCATCTGATGCTGCACAGTTTATCAGTCCCCTTCTACCCCCATTTATCACTGGTCAGTTCACAGGACTGCTGTTGAATGATTGCTCGGGTGGTGGACCATTCTCATTACTATTAGACATCCTTTCATCAGTGGTCAGATTTCGACCACAGATGTGCTCTTGGTTGGTTATTTTTAGGTGGTGGACCACTCTCTGATAAATTATGCTTTAGCAGATGGACTACACTCACTGGGAACCTACAAGTGTACCTATATCACTTTGTAATTATGCTAATAGTTAATCTAACACGTTTTGGACCCCTAATAGTAGGTGTACATGATAAAATGGCCAATAATTAAAGGTAAATACACCTAATAAACTCGACTCAACAACCACACCTTCCTGTGTGTCCATCTCTCAGCTGGAAGAGGTTCTGAACCGAACATCTCCCTTCTCCATCTGGATCAACGGTCAGAACATTGAGACTCTGGAGAAGGAGGACCAGCAGCAGAGCCAACACTTCCAGGACCTGGAGAAGCACTACAGTGAAGTGGCTGATGGAGTGGACAGCATCTTCATGGACAGTATGAGGGTGTTTGATCACATGCACTCGTTCCAGCCCTTGCACCAGCCCAACCCCTTCATCGGCCTCTACCACATGCCTAGCATCTTCAGCCGGCCGGCACGCGTCTACAGGTCCCCTCTCTATGACGCCGAGTTCCACGGCTTCCACAGCATGTTCTATCCCATGATGCAGAAGGCTCGCGATATCTTTGAATCATTCAAACCCTACATGGGCAGTGACATGGACTTCTCCACTGAAGGTAAATTTTACAAAAAGCTTTTCTAGCATATCATCAAAATGGTAAATTTACAGGGGGAAGGGGATGGAAGTGAGCATTTCTGAAATATGTTAATGTAATAAAAAAGGTTTGCTTTTCAAAGTTTGATCCATTCATCATGAAATGTTATTAAAGGGAAATGAAAAATGAAAGTTAAAATTTAGTTTTCTTATGACAGCGACAATAAATATAAGTGGTATGAAGGCAGGGTTTTGACAACACACCTCTACATTTGCCCTCATGTGACAGATGGCAGTGTGAACGAAGATGTCGTCATCACTAAGCCATTTGGGAATGATAAAATGACCTGCAGGGAGATTCGCCGTAACTCTGCAGGCTGCATCAAACTGCGAGAGGAATGTGAAAAATGCAAGGAGATCCAGCACATTGGTAAGCTCTCTGTCGAGACCTCATTATTTCATTCATGACCTTGTTCTGACCTTCTTTATGCTGCTGTTTTCTTCTAAACTGCATTCCATGTATGATAGCTGCAATATAAACACAAGTTAACTTATATTATTGTAATTCTTGAAAGATACGTTCTGAAGGTCAAACTTAAGATCAGCCTGGGCTGCTTCTCTTCTGCAGATTGTTCTGGAAAGAAGCCTCTGGAAGGCCCCCTGAAGGAGGAGTTGGAGAAGGCCCTGGCCATGGCTGAAAGATTCACTCAGGAGTATAACAGAATCCTTAAGCACTTTGAGGAGGAGATGTTCAACACTTCGAAGCTGCTGGACATGTTCAACAAGCAGTTCGGCTGGGTGTCCTCACTGGCCAACCGCACCCAGACTGACGATGGAATCTTTAAAATCCACGCGGTAAGCTCTGACGTAGGCTAAATGCCATCTTAGGCACTAATCAAGCTGGATTTATTTTACCAGGGGGAGGTTATGTAATGTAACATGTGGGATTTGACTTGTTGATTGGTTCTGGATGAAGTGTTTGTGTAATTGCCCCACTTTCCCTCGGGTAGCCCGGATGTTCACATCAGAGTTATACCTCAGTAACAATATCGACACTTCACATAGCTGTATCTATTATCAGGTCATTATATTAGCATTACTGTGAGGTGGATTGGAATGGAACTACTATTACTGAGGGAACTCGGGTTCAGTCAATTACAGAAGACTATTCACTCCACAATTATTGCTGTCAGACTATAAAAACTAAAAACATTGCAAATTCATACTGGATTAAATCACTCCACAATTATTACTGTCAGACTGCAAAAGCTGAAAACACTGCAAATTCATACTGGATTAAATCACTCCACAATTACTACTGTCAGACTGTTAAAACTACACACACTGCAGATTCATACTGGATTAAATCACTCCACAATTACTACTGTCAGACTGTTAAAACTACACACACTGCAAATTCATACTGGATTAAAATCTCTCCACAATTATTACTGTCAGACTGTAAAAACTACACACACTGCAGATTCATACTGGATTAATATCACTCCACAATTATTACTGTCAGACTGTAAAACTACACACACTGCAGATTCATACTGGATTAAAATCGCTCCACAATTATTACTGTCAGACTGTAAAAACTAAAAACAGCAGATTTATACTTCATTAAAATCTATCCACAATTACTATTGTCACACTATACAAACTACCCACTCTGCAGACTCATACTGGATTAAACTCACTCCACAATTAAACTCATTCCACAGTTATTACTGTCAAACAGTAAAACCTACACACTGCAGACCCATACTGGATTAAAATCTCTCCACAGTTATTACAGTCAGACTGTAAAAAGTTAAAAACACTGCGGATTCATACTGGATTAAAATCCAGGGTCTCATCTGTAATCACTCTTAAAGGAACTGTTCTATGAAAAATTTACTAAATACCTGCTTTGCCTGCCCTTCAAAAGCAGATAGACAGCCAAAACATTTTTGGTGTCAAAGTTTCTTTAGTTTTCCGCTGGAGCTTTAAGGCTAATAAGAGAAATTTGTCGCCCAAAAAGATTGTAGTTGAGATAGACTTCCATTACTTTTGAGCTACATTAGCCTTGTAGCTCCAGTGCAAATTAAAGAAGAAAACTGTGGAAACCAAACATGTCTTAGCTGTCTGACTTTTTGAGGAACTATTGCAGTACCTCCTCAGGTAATATATTCCAGCTTCAATAGGGCTCCTTTTAGAGCACAACATGCATGATAAAGTTTCATATCACATCACTTTTCTTAAAACCTAGTAACTCACATATTTTTTCAGCAGTGTGAAAAAATCAAGAGTATAGCAAGTAATCTAAAGCTGTTTTCTGGTTTAATAAAGGTCATATCTAAGACCATAGAGGACCCTGAGAAGCAAGCAGACACCAAAGTGTCAGTCAAACTGTTTGATGAGCCAGAAATGACCTTCACAGTGCCAGGAGACATCCCCTGGAACGACCCCAAATTCTCCGAAGTCGTGGCACAGGAGGCTCTGGACCGCTACAAACAGAACACTGTGTGAGTCTTCAAGAAATGATTTTCCCAGTGTCTTAAGAAAACTTTTTTTCCCATATTTATACATTTTTCAACTTTTATAACCACTAACTGTACTCTTAAATATTAATTGGACCAGTAGAAGTTTTGTGGAACTTTTTAAATGTGTTTAATCTGTGTTAACAGAAGTTAAAAATGTTTTCCTTTTTCCTGTGAAGTTACTATTTCAGATGCGATGTTTTCTTACAACAGTTTGTTGATGTGTTTTTACATTTATTATTTCATATTACTAATTTTTTTTTGTTGTTTTCTGTAGGGTTGTAAAGTAAATGTAATGATCCCAGGTGGAACTTCATGTCGGGGAATTGCCAGAACAACTTCACAAGTCACTACCAGTCACCGAAAGAAATGTAATAAGCTTTTTCTGCATTAATATCTCACAACATACTGAAAGCTGTTCTACTTACCCAGCTGGATATCCTCTCCCTGCTGTATGATCCTCAACTAGGCATCAAGAGAGATCCTCAGGAGTTTGTATGAAAACAAAAGTGCTTCTGATGATCTAGAAATAATCAGCTGTATATTGAAAAATGTTAATAAAATGAGTAATGGAGTCAAATGCCTTGTTTCCCTTTCCATATGAATTTCTGTAAGGATACAGGACAAGTGCATAAGAGTAATTTGGCAAGCTGTTTTGAATATGAGCTAGTCATTTTTCTGTAGAAAATCAAATAATCAGAGAGGTGAGGGGGTCCTTTTTGTGTTGCATGACAGCTGAGATTTGTCAAAACTAAAGCAAGCACATGCAATACTTAGCTGGTGACAAGGTGAATCTAATACACAGCCCTCAGCTTGAATGCGCAATGTGTCATCTGTTAATCACCAGCACAATGTTGGTATTCGCTTTACTGATACAGAAGCCTGCAAAATGCACAAGGGTGTAACACTTACTGTGTGCTGTGAGCATCCTGACCAATCACAGTTCCAGATAAGGTTCTGTGGGTGTTCTGATGAATCAAGGTATTCATGCAATCCAACAAAAATAACCAAAATAACACAGACCCATCTTTAAAGTAGACCCAAGTCAGAAATCACAGCACATTTTTCTTCTGTACTATATTTCTGAGTGAAAGTATCAGGGACGATCTCTGAGCTTGCTGAGAGTTTTCTCACCATCAGTGGTGGGAGAGATATGACATTACTGGTTAATAATACTTCCCCCAGCTCACCACTCTGAGGTAATGAAAAATCTGAAGATGTTTCAGAAGCAGGGGAAGTCATTACATTTTGATTGAAGATCACAGGAGTTCAAGAATTTTGTCTTTTAAATGATGTATGATGAAGTATGGTTAAAGATGAATTGCACGTTCTGCTTCTGGAGTGTTAGTGTGTGTTATGCTGGTATGAATTGGACACAGCAGTGCTGCCGGAGCTTGTAAACAGTGTCCACTCACTGTCCACTTTACTAGATACTCCTATCTTGTTGGTCCACCTTGTAGATGTAAAGTCAGAGACGATAGCTCATGTGCTGCTGCAGTTTATGTTGGTCATCCTCTAGTCTCTTCATCAGTGGACACAGGATACTTGTCGGCTGGATACTTCTGGTTGGTGGACTATTCTCAGTCCAGCAGTGACATTGAGGTGTTTAAAAACTCCAGCAGCACTGCTGTGTCTGATCCACTTGTACCAGCGCAACACACACTAACACACCACCACCACGTCTGTCACTGCAGTGCTGAGATGGAACCACCACCCAATAAATACCTGCTCTGTGGGGGTCCTGACCTCTGAAGAACAGGGTGAAAGGGGGGATAAGCAGAGAAACAGATGGACTAGTCTGTAATTGTAAAACTACAAAGTGCACCTATAGGATAAATGGAGCTGTTAAATTGAGTGTAGATACAAGGAGGTGTATTTAATGAAGTGGCTGGTCAGCATATGACGACAATAGTAGATAATTCACTAACATCCCCAGAAGACATGTCCCTCACCAAGTTTGTTCTCTTTGAGTACTCTTTCAATTCACTCACAATCATCAGATTCATCCACTTGGGGAAGGGGTCTGAAGCACAAGCCACGTTCTTCTGCACATTGCATGCAATTACACATTTCCACCAGAGAGGTCTCCAAATCCCCAAACCTTACATAGTGCAGCTGTAATGCACTTTCAACAGCCACTTGAGCTTTCTATATCAACAAATCTCAAACACTTGAGCATAGTCAGAATTCACAACCAAGGAAAAGTTATTAAAATATTGTGCCATTTTTATTTTGTGTAAAAATCACACAGCTGCTAGTTCATTCTGCAGAGATACATCCATGCAGTTAAACATCTATGATCCCACAGCCATAATATAAGCAATTAAATAGAATATTTGCTGTTAGTCAGCAATTAATGCAAATTTACATATGAGACCAAAAGGTGTGTATCATACAATATACAACAAACCCCTTATACAGTACATCGACCTGAACAGCAGGAAAAGAAGGCTCACCTTGATTCAACACAGGGGGAGGATACATTAGTGTGAAAACCTGAACGACGGGAGTAAGGCTTCGAGGGCAGGGAAAGAAAACAGGAACGTTGGAGAAAACTAAACAAAAACAAAAACAAAAAAAACAACACCTAACAAATGAACGAGACGAGTCCAAATAACAACGTAAAAGTCATACTAGTTAAGATAGTACATATACAAATCAAGTGGTTCAATTTTAAGAGCTGTTTTATATCAAATAAGAACACGAACAACATGCAAAAAATAGTGTTACAGGGTGGGGAAAAAAAAAGAACAGACCAACAAAGGACAGCCGAGGGTAAGAAAGTGCAGTCGCGTTACATTTCAGGTTTCACATTTATAGCTGATGTCACAGGAAAGCTTGATTCTGAAGCATGACTCACTCAGATTGTGCACCATGTGAGGCACAGTACAGGCAACATTTTCTTATGAGTGTAAGGGGGCCACAAAAATTCTGTTATACTGGGTCAATGACTGTACAGGGTAGAAAAACTCATTTCATTATACCACAGATGTTAAAAGAAGAAAATAGAGCAGTCTTTGATGCATTATGCCATATATTTGTAACCGTTGCTCACGCACACACGCATACACACAAAAACACGCATAGATGTGTCCTCCGCTGGCATGTTAGAGAGGTTACAAGAAACATGAATGAGTGCCTAGCACAATTCATTCATTAACGTACTTCTGAAACAGAGCATGATCTCCCCAAAATCGGTCCTCCACTCCGCCCACCAGCACACTAAGTGATTACTGAACCTCACTGGGGTGCCACTGCATCTGCTGGAGCATTACCATGTCCTCAACATCCTTATTGTAAGCAGGTGAGGGGCTTTTGAACAGTGCCCCCTATGCCCCATTAGAGCAGTGGCTGACCCCGTGCTGAAGACTTGCAGTAGAGGACTGACGTTTACAACAACTCACACTCTGTTTCGTCAAAGTGCCAAAATCTATTATGTTCCTACCCCTATCTCTCAGAACATCCCCTCTCTGAGGTCAGGATGGGATGCATGAGAGCGATGTGGAAGGAAGCAGCAGATTCCCTCCTCACGCAGGCAGAGGGAGAGCAACAGGCGCAGGAGGAGGGGATACAGGGCTGAAATGTGCGTCCTCCTGGAGGATCCGCTGGACCTTTTCCGATCACTTCAACGGCTCTTCCTTCATGTGGTTACAAATGAGAAAACGGTCTCAGCTGTTCCAGTTGAACTTCCAAAGATATTCTCTCCTCGAGCAAGTCCTGAAAAACAACAGAACAAAGCGAAATCAAATTCACTTTTAAAGCTCTTGTTTTAGAGGACACTTCTGACAACCTCTAACAGGAAGTGCCATTAACCTCAGTACTACTCAGATGGATTTAGCTTTGCATGGGAAGGTGGGACAACGTAATTATATTTGTCAGTGACTTGAGTCCCATCCGTGACCATAATGTCAGTAGTTTTGTACACACTACGTGCCCCACATCAGTAAAGATTCCTATGGTTTTATGTACTAAAAAATAAGCTGTAGAAATAACCCCAGGTTATATTAACCCTGTGCAAATTGCCATGTCGGGAAATATTCCAGCATATCCTGTGAAATAGTCATTTTCACATTTTTTCTTTAATATGGAGGCCATAAGTGTACAACTCTGAACATTAATACATGTAAACAACAGAAAAAAAATTCAGATTTTGTGCAGTGATGTTGGCTATGTTCCAAGTTAATGATAATGCTAATTAAACATTACACTCACTTAAGACAACTATGTATGTTATGGTAAACTAAATTACAATTAAATAAAATGTTTAGACATGTTTTGTACTTATTGAGCAGCAAAATGTGGTGTGTATGGAACTTAATGTTATGGCAGTGCATAAATGAAATAGCCATACCCACCTCTGTAATTCATATGAAGATGGTCATAACAGATTATGTTCAGTAATATTATAGGGTTAGTTGGTTTTACTATTGATTGGCACAACAGATGTTTATGTCTGATATCATGACAGCTAATTAGAGTACATTTAGCAAAAAATCATTTGTTAGGTCAATTACCATTAACAGTAACCTGAATCTGTTATATTACTAAAGAAAATTTGTAATAACAACCCCTGACAGCACATGACATCTGCATGACATGTTTACAGCATGGCTATGTCAATGTTATGTAGCAGAGTTCAGGTGTTACTTATCTTCTGTGAATCGTTCATAAACATTAGATGTGCTGTGGTAAAATTACAAACCTAATTCTACAAAGTTAGGACAGTATGTGAAACACATACAAAAACAGAAAGCTGTGATTTGTAAATCCAATTTGACCTGTATTTAGACAAAAACAGATCAAAGACAAGATATTTAATGTCTTATCAACCTAATTGTTTTTTGTAAATATACACATTCAGAAATTGATGCAATTTTGGACTAGGAACACTCAAAAAAAACTCAAACAGCTGAGGCAATCATGCTTTGAGTATTAAAGGAACATACAGGAAAGTCCTTTATGAGTGAGGATGGGTTTTGGCTCACTACTTTGCCAAAAAATGTCAACAGTTTAAGAACAGCAAGCTGAAATACCTACAGTCCTTGCAACGAGGACCTGCAAGGATTGTAGGTATTTCAGCCTCTATGGTGCATAATATCAAAATCCATATGCTTCCATGAATCCAGAGAAATCTGTGTGTATAAAAAAAGACTGAATACCACAACTGATTGCCCATGACGTTTAACACCTCAGACAGCACTGCATTAAAATCCAGCATGCTGCTGTTCTGGATATCAGGAATCTTTTGACATGATCCAGCCTCCTCACGTACAACTAATCCTGTCCAAATTGTACTTTACACTACACTGAGTCGTCTGTTTACAACTATTTTGTATCCTTACTGTCTTACCAGAAATGCCTACCATATAATTGCACTGTGTAAGTTTAAAATTACTGACTGTAGCCCATCTGCTACTGCATTATTTATCAGTACCTCATCTATGCCTTCTATCAATGGAAAGGGACCACCATAAGAGCACAGCTGATCAGATATTATTCATGTAAAAATAATTCTCAGTATTGCAATAGTTGAATTGCACAGCAGCATTGCTGGTGTAAGTGTACCTATACTCACAATCAAGAATATCTTAAACCAGAGACTTTGAAATTCGGTCAATCTTGTCATCCACACAGTCCACATTTTAGCTCTAACATGCCAGCTAGCCCACATCTAGAGGAAAATAACTTGCTTACTGTGTATAATCCCTTTTACAAATGCACTTTTACCAAGTTATTTAAGGGTAATTTAATGAGAAATGGGTTGAGTGTGAACACAAGCCTGAGCCTAAAAATCCTGGTTAGGCTGACACAGCAATTTCAGCTGCATGAGACCCGATACAAAACTCTTGTAATTATCATTAGGGCTCATGGGTGAATAGAGGCTGATACATTACTGGGAAATACAAAGGTATCTAGATTACAGCCAGCAAAGCAGAACGTTTCAGTGAAGCTTATTTTATAGCTAAAATGTTTAAATTAGTTTTGTGAGTGAAAGTGCTGTGTGAGTGTATTTTGTATATGATTTTAGGAAGAAGAGGCAAAAATCTACCCTGCATGCAAGCAAAAAGTAGTCTCGCAAGCCTGAGTCTGATGCTTTTCACAGCACAACGTGAACTTGACATGAAAAAACGATAAATCACAGTCTGCTGTTTTGGCGCAGAACGTAATGGGAAGTGATTGTGAAAATCCCACACTTGCTCTAAAAGGCTCATATTTCATTACAACGTCCAGTGCACGCACCTGCTTGCTATTGCTACTACAATTTAGCTGAAAAAAGAAAACTGTTTCCTGTATGAATGATAAACACTGCATGGTGGTAAGCGTACATGGATGCCAATCAGGAAGCAAGAGTTGTGGCCAGCAGTATGGAAAAGATCATTATTGCAGTAGTCTCAGCCTTAGATGCTCCGCCCCCAAAGAAACGGAGCGTCCAAGACTAAGACTAGCGCAATAACGATGCTTCATGGCCAGCAAAGCACAACATCTGTTTTTACAGTGGAGTTTTCAGTTTTCAGAGAAAGAAAAGTTGAGGGTTGGGTTTTGAGTGTGAAAGGTACTTCTGTTTGGAGGACCTGTCCTAACGCACCTTTAACTGCTGCTGTAATTCACTGTTGAGTCTGGCCAAAACCGTGTTTGTCTCTTTGTTTCTTCTAATGGAAGCTTGGATAGCCTTCTTATCCTTCCCAACAGACCTATTTTGAAAGGAAAAGAGCAGTAAACACAAGAGCACAAGATACTGCCAACATGATTTTGATTGAGAGGTTTGAAATGGCACACTGTTTATGAGTATACCGTGGAATTGAAGGTTGAGTTGCTAGGACAGAGGCAACCACACCGGACTTCTGAGGGTGGTCCTCTATGTCAGGCCTGAGCTCATCCTCTGACTTTAGCCTCCGCCGTACAGGTTTAGGAGGAGGAGCAAGGGGAGTGGATCCTTTGGCCTGCAGGAAAACATAAGGGTCACCGTAAAGCACTAGCCATCAGGTGTGTAAATCTCTAACCTAACAACAAATCAATTACGATTCTTCAGGAGGCGATTTAATGAATCATGAAAGCTCAAATTTTGCAACAATTACTATTGCCATTTTTTTCAAAAACGCACTGAACACACAAGTGAAACTGAAGGAACTATTTAGACAGTAGTGGAATACAGACAACAAAAATAATTCAAGTTTTCCTGCATATTTATATTTGAAAGTAGTTTCAAGTGCTGTACGTAAATGCTTTGAGCATTTAGCACTGGTGCTTTAAAAGTTTTATAGCGCAAATTAAATTTCAAAACAGGAAGGTAGATAAATTTCATTAACTAACACATCAGCTTGACAGAGTGTGTATGTATGAATATACAAGTGTGAAGAGAAAGATACATACAGAGTTCACAGTGGCTGCAGTTCGCTCCTCTGGCTGAGCTTCACTCTTCACTACTCTCATAGTCCCAGTAGCGTCTGCACATTTCTCAACCTGAAACAGAACAAAGCAGCAGCTTCAGGCGCTATGATCAGCAGAGCTCTCCAGTGCTGACTGATGAGCACCCAGACACAGACAACAGACTGTTTCTTTTCAGTAGAAGGGTGGACTGTGTGGATTCATCATTGCTGTCTGAAACTGAACTTCAGTGTCCGTTCACATTATGATTTAGTTTGCAGTTTACAGACCAAGAGCCTTGAGAAAAATGAAATCTCAAAATTAAAATCCTGATTGCAATAGTTCAATAAATTGATACACTCACTGCACTCTGTTAACTCTCAAAGTGCTGCAAGTTGTATTAGTTACCTTGCTTCATGCAATACATTTATATATAACCACCCATATTTTTCCTCAGTAGAAGAAGCTATGGTTATAGAATGGCTAATTGACATTTGGTGTTTACCCAACCTGCACACTCTCCTGCTGTTTCTCCCCATCATCTGCAGGCTGCTCCACAGCAAAGGCCTGGAACTGACTGAAGTCTGCAAAATTGGGCTGCTCTGGCATCTGCTGGGGTGAAGTGCTGGCATGAGCCGGAAGACCATCTCCATCTACAGAACGATGCCCATGCGGCACTGATGTCTGTGCATTGGGGGGGAGACAGACATTCTTTAGTTCTGGCCTTGATCTATGAGGGCTAATGTAACTAGTAAGTCAAAGACTTTACTCAAAGACTCAAAATGTTTTTATGATACTAAAATTAACTGTGTTCTATTAAACATCCAGCACATTGTAAATGAAATGCAATAAAACATGGCTTAAAAAACACTGATCAGACAAGTGTGAGAAACGAGCACATATGATTGACATCAGTCTGTCCAACACTCCCAGCCTGCCACGTCACTGAAGCAGAACTAAACCCAACAGCGTGAGCAAAGTGGGGATAAATGAGTGGAACAAGCTCCATCTCTATAGGTAGTGCTATAGAAAAAACACTATCCAGCTTTTATATGGTGATGTCTCAAAGAAGGCAAAGTTCTTCCCTGCTGGAAATTCATTTCCAGCTCCTATTAGGTCCGACAGTTCACAGAAACCAACGTGTTCGACATTAATACCAGATGCAAACTACACTTCTCGGTTGCTAACAATGATAATTTATCCACCCTTTGAAAGCTACTGAAGATAAAAATCCAGATATCTGTAAATGAAACCATCTTCACGAAACACAGCTCTTTTTTTATTCTCCTGTTCTCATTGTCCTATAAAAATTTTAAAACCTCCAAGAACTACTGCCATGCTGTGGTAAGAGGATATCAGAAATCTCCACTGGCAGCCGACTCCTCCCCTTCCCCAAATGAAAAACTCATGAAATGTACATGATTCACATGAATGGCATATTTGGAATTCAGAACGATTATTTTCACCACAATTTCGCCACTCTTTGTCTTCAAAACCAGGTCAACTTTGGAGGTATACCTGTGTGGCCAGTGGCCGAGGAGGCACGGCAGGGGGAAAGGCCACAACTCCGGCCTGCTGCTGGGCTCCTGGCAAACATTCAACAGACAAAAAAAAACATGCAAGTTCCTCAGAACCACAATGACTGAAAATGATAACATGTCTAACAAAAAACAGAAGTAGGTAATCACAAGCTAGCATGACTTCATTCGCATGTAATAACATTAGCATTTTTTACTGCACTATTCCTTTAGGCACAAGGACAAGCTGTGTGTCCTCTTAAAGGTATTATGTGAGTGATCTGTGTACCTGCAGGGACAGTGGTAAAGTTTCTGTTCATGTCTAAAGAGGAGGAACGTGAGTGTGAAGCGTGGGGGCGTGGAGGGGGTGGTGGCGGAGCCACAGCTTTCAGTCCTTCAGGAGACGTCCCAGAGTGAGACCTGCAACAAAATGCCCATGTTAAAATAAGCACCACCACAATGCTTACAAAACACACAATCATTAAGTCTTTCAAAAACGGGTTACAAGCTTTCTACTGGTTTCTTTGCAAGGCTTTATAAGACAAAGTAGTTTCAGACAACATTACCTCATTTTAAAAGCAAAGCAAGCTTAGGGTGTTTTCACATAAAGTGATACTGGTATTTTTTGTGACTGAATTTGCAGATGGCTAAGCTCTCACAGCAGTTACGACAGTCCACTGAAATCTAAAATGTTCTACATCAATGTCAGATGTAAACCACACATCTTCGTTGCTAACAATGACCAAATTTAGTTCTGTTAAAGTGAACCAGATTCAACTGACCTCAGTGTGTGACAGTATAAGCGAACTTTAAATGGCACTCTCTTTAGCATTGGTGAGATATTAAATACTCCAATAGGGTAAAGCTATTAAAAATCATTAAACAGTTACTATTATTCATGGAATCACTTTTGATCTAAATTATTTTTTATTTTCTATTGTACTGCATATTATTTTTGTCACCCTTTTATAAAAGCAATAAGCAAGTCTTTGTAGCAGTGATTTTAATTCGGGGGATTATTTCTGCCTCAAATGCGTACCTAGCATCATTCTTTAACCACAGTAAAATCACTGAAACATATGGTCTCTCCTTGCTTACTGCATTAATACATCACTGCTGCTGTTTCTTCGCGAGATCACAAAAGCAGTACTAATTAGTTGTTTTAGTAACCACACTAAGTTCTGGAGAACTGGCTGTGTACGGTAGTTGTTGTCTGACGGTCTCTTTAGGCAGGGCATACAGTACACGATTTTTAAAATCTTACAAGATCTCTAAATTGGAGAGCATCACAAACTTAATATCAGTTTGTCACAGAAGTTCTTGTCTTTTTTTTTGTGAGGACGCTCACACTAGACGACAGGGAAAAGTGAGAGAATAACACACATAAGTTTCAGCTACGAATAAGAACTCAAACCCCCAGATTTTCTCAGATCACACGACACAACCAGAGCTGAACTTACTGGACCTGTTGGTGCTTTTAAGTGCAGCGAAAGCACAAACTAAGGATTAAAATGGGGTTGGGAAACGCTAATATCACACTGGCTGTGTTTACATGCAAAGATTTTTGCCAATCCAATTGAATACATTCTGATTACAGATTAAGACTGAGGTGTCTATATGCACACTCTGCTGAACAATCTGATAGAAAATCTCCGTTTACATGCTCACTACTCAGATCCAAAATGACGTGCATGCGTAGAGTAACACTTAGTGTGGACGTTACCATGACAACAAGCATCACGTGAGGTCCAGTCAGAGTGAGACGAGTTTTCAGCTGGCGTGCATGTGTTTTAATTGCTTTAAAAATGATGGCAGAAAAAATACTTCACATGTATGAAGGAACCAGCAAGAGGAAGACGTCATGTTCTGAGACACATAAGCTGGACACCCGTCCCATGGCCTCTTTTAAAGTTCAATCTATAAACTTTGCCTCCTCTGCAGACCAGTTCCTGCTAACAGATTATTTACAGTATTACCCACCTGGATCCATACTTTATAAACATGATGACAGCTTTTATCTGCCTGTGTTTTACATGCAGCTCCTCTGTCTCTGTGCTGTGAATGCACAACTCTTCACCTTTCTCTACACTCTTCTAGCTCTCTGATTGGCTGTTATTTGATTCACTCACTGAGTTAATCTCCGACCTTCTCACACTGCAGGACTCGCAAACATGTTTGATATTATCGGAGGGCCTCCAATCACTTCAGAGCTTGATCTGAGGACTAAATATTCACTCGTTTCTCCTCTCACGCTAACCGTTCATCTGCACCAGTCGCTTCTGATTGAGCTCCCGACCTGGAAAATCACTGCAGACTGTGAAAATTTAATCGCAAGGGGCAAATCGGGGTTTAAATCGGGCAAAAAAACGTGTAGTGTAGACCCATCTTAACCTTAAAGCAAAATGCGAAGCAGAGTAGGGTTGTTCCATTTTCACAATGCGCAAATCATTCGGACCACAAAAGAACCACTAATGAGCCGCATGGCTACCACCTTAAGAAGTGGCCTGAGTTTTGGTAAGTTTGTTTGACTGCTTAGAGCAGAGGTTCTCACCCACAATATTATTTTTAATAACAAACTTTTTTTAAAGGCTTAATTTTCCCATTAAATTTGATGGAATTTTGAAGATACTGGCATACATCACATCTGTACTTGACTTTGTGAGTGTGTGCAGGTAGCTACTGGCTGCTTTTAGCTGAAGGCTAATGTAAGTCAAGAAGTCCAAAATCAATGAATTGTCAACATTAACAAATATTTCACTGGTGCTGCAGACACACAAAAAGCCCCTTGAAGACAAGAACAAGAAAGCGATACCAAGATTAAAAAAAGCATTATTAAATCAAACATACCCACACGTCAGAAAAAAAGCTATGGCAACGTGGGGCAAAAGGTCCAGTGATAATTAAATTGGGGTCCTGCGAAGACTAATCATGGGGCTATATAGACCACCCAACACCAACAGTTGCTCACCCTAACCACTTCTGTAACAATCCATGAAAAGCAATGTGGGCTGCGCATGGGGCTGTGGTCCAAGTGCGAAAACGGCTAATTAATTTGAAGAAGCTGAGGGGAATCTGTCTTTTGTTTCAAAGCTAGAAGCAAAACAAATCAATTATAACACGCAATTGTGTAATCCATAAAAATAATACGTAATAAATAATACACACCTTTGTCTAGTTACAGCACTGGGAATAGGCTCTTGATCAGATGCAAAGGAATCAGAGCTGCTGTAACCATCACCTGCAAGAAAAACAGAAAGCCAGTGTTGGTCTAGATACATCAGTGTATGTTGGGTAAATTTATCTTTAGCGGCCCTGGGTTCCAGTCAAGTAGTATGATCTTGAAATAAGCTGACAGTTGTCTTGGTAAACCTACCTACAGTGGTCCCGGGAAATTTAATAGTTGCTGCTAGTTTTTTCTCCTCTGAGAGTTCAGGTGGTTTAGGCATTAATGGACTTGTTGGATGTGCATGGTCTGTCAAATCAAGAGGTAAAACACAGATTTTTTAGCCTTTATTATTAGCCTACAAAATAATTCTTAAGTACGTTTACCCTTCAATATATGGCTGGCTTGGCAACTCTAAACAAAGTGTGCTAAAATTTTTCATTATATTGGATGGGATTTTGACAGCTTTCAGTAAAATGCATCAAAACCTTACAGTAACTGCTATGAAATAGCACATATGAGGGCAAAACATGGACAGACTTCATAACATCCAACATAATATAACAGCGGTCTTGTGAAGAAATCACGTCATAATGATGACATGCAGACAGATTAAATCAGAGCAATTTAAAAAACAGATTACATCAAATATAACCTCAGTAGAACTTTGTCAGTCTGAAACAGTCTGTAGAAAATTCTGTAGCAGAACTGCCTACACTGCAAGAAGAAGTGCAGAGTCACTAGATTACAAAAGACTGGCCACTTGTCATGGGCAGCGAGGCATCACAACCTTCCCCCGTAAAATTGACAAACACACAAGTCAATAACTGTCTCAGATTTCTCATGGCACAAAAATGCTCAACATACAATGTGCAAAGTTCCTTACCACTCCCAGTTCTCTTCAGCTCCATTTCCTGCATGTGAATCTTGCTAGGAGTCATACGGATGGGCACAGGATGAACTATTGCTGTATCCTAAAAAAAACATCAATCTATCAGTCTTCTCTGTAGTGAAAGTATCTTAGTTCACTGCTCACTTGAGACCAAATGTGCGACAAAGAAAAATACAGCAAAGCTATAAATACTTTGTCTTTTGTTTCAAAATTGTTAAATGAAAGTTTGCCAGAACCATAAATAGTCACCACCTAGACCAAGTTACACAAACAGAGAGGGTGTGAGAGAATAATTCATAAGCTAAGCAAGCAAAACAAAACAAAACAAAAAAATTGTATTGTGGCCACTGATGCGGATGAATTTGCAATGAAAACATGCATTTTCCAGACAGAATCCCAAGAGTACGGGGTTAATGAAAAACCATTAATCATGAAAGAGCACTAAGTGATTGACTTACAGGGTCAGCTGGTGCAATGTTAGAATCAAATTGGGTCAGAGTTTGTGAGCTTGAGGAGCGTTCGCTAAAAGTCTCCCACTGCTGGAGAGACAGAGCAGAGACATGTCAGCATGTCAACAAAACCTGGGAGCCTACAGTTCAACTATAGCTTCCAGTTTCCAATCGATGGAGAAGAAGAGATATACATGACACCAAAGAAACAAAACATCATTGTACTGTAACAAAATCCCTTTGGTGCAATTACAAACAACTGTATCTCTTAGTTTCACTGGACAAAACAGGAAATGCTGCCCACAGCTTCCCAAAAACTTGATATGTGGTACCATGACCAAATCCAACAAATAGGATATTATAAGGAAAAACATATTACCACTTTTTGTGTACAATTGCTTTTACTATCTAGATCAGTCCTGTAGTCCTAAAGTTTCTGGGCACTTTGTAAGAGCACATTTTGAAGTCACTCTGAAAACAATGTGTGTTAAATTTATCAATGTACATTGTAAATGTAATTTGGAAATAATAGAACACTTATTAGCAAAGAACAAATCCTTAGCCTTTAAAGAGTAAAGGTTTCACCTGAATACTATGAAGCCCTGCTGGTGACATCCCTTTTAATTAAAATAATGCAGGGCCACAACTTGCTAGGGCATTAAAACAGGATCCTAATGTGTTGCCACAACTTACTAAAAACACTGGATGAGACACTTATGTCATGGCAATGACTTAGTAAGCCATGGGAATTACTTTACTATCTAGTTCCTGCACCTCACCAAGTCATGGCTACGATTTACCATGACAACTTAATCATGTTGTTCCCACACCAAAATAAATCACGGTCATAAATTCTGTCACTCCCACAACTTACAAAATTTTAGACATGACTAAATTATCTCATTGTCACACCTTACTAAGTTTTGGCCATGACTTCACTATCACAACTTAATTTTCTTGTTAACATGCCTTACTAAGTTGTGAGCAGGAGTTAATTATCTTATTCTGATGCCTTACTAGGTTGTGGCCATGACTTAATTCTCTTGTTCCAATGCATACTAAGTTGCCGCCACACTTTACTAAGTTATTTTTATTAAGAAGGGATGTTACAAGTAGAGCTCCATAAAATACAAAATTATTCAAGCATATTTATGTTTTGCACACTTCTAACAAAGTGACTACTGTAACAACGGTCTAAATAGTCACCATGGCGCTCTTTCCACAAAGTTTAGAACTAATTTTCATTAACTGCATTTTCATTTATGTATCCAGGTGATGCAGACTGATCTATAAGTGGGGTGCAGTAGAGCAGGCCAAACCTCATTGCTCTGGTTGAGTTCAGGCCAGTTCTGGTTCAGGGAAGGCATGGAGGGGGATTTATTAGGGGTCACCTCCACTGGGGAACCAGAGAAGCCCACCTCAGGTGCAGGCTCTGGGACTCCTAAAACACAGACACACATAAATGATGTGTTTCAGATGTCCTCATTTTAAAATGTAGGGCCCATTAGTTTCCATTTTAATGGAACTGCAAAACATTGTACAGAAATCACAGATGATCATGTCATTCTGTTCCTCAATCCATTATTTGTGGCAAAGGTTTGAACTCTGCTACTTCTGTGCACAAAGTGCAACTGTACATGAACTAGAAAAGAAAGAAGTCTTCTAGCCATTCACTCACAACAGCTCAAACAAGCAGGACAGTTAGGAGCTAGCGAGTTATTAAAAATACTGAAATTAAACAGAGTAAAAAAAATGCAGTGAGCTTGATGCCTTAGAACAAGAGGGGATTGTGGCAACAAATCATTTGCAGTGTAGGACTGGTTCAGTGCTTTATGTTCTACCTTCATGATAAAAAACTATTTATATTGTGCCAGAATACAGCCTTTACTCTCTTCAGGGTTCTAAGTATCAAGCCAGAATAATTAGCAATACTGAATGAAGATGTCCACCTCAGATAAAAAATACTAGGCCCAATAAGGAGTCCATTCCTGCTTCACAATAATTAACTTTAAATCAGAAAGTCTGCAAGCTGAGTTAAAACTTGCCCTTGTTTATGCAGGTCCTAAAAAGTACTCTTGATTTTAATTAAGTGCAGTACTTACAGTCATTAATAAATTGGAGTTTACACTTTAAGTTGATTAATTTTGTATAACTTCTTTCAGAGATGGGACCTGCTTTCCAGAGGGACAAACAAATTTATGGTACTTGACTTGCAGTTTTCACAGGCACCACCTGATCACTATGAACACCAGACAATCTCAAGAAAAGTAAAGATAACCACAACTACTTCTTTACTCTCCTGCTTGAGAACTGGATAAAACTTCCATAGAACAGATTTACTAAGACATTTTCTCATGTCTGTTTCACAGACCTGCATTCAACAACTGTCCCATTGTCTTCTATGACGAGGGAGTTTTGAACTGACAGATTTCTTTTCTTTCCTAAGCACAGGAATCTGTATGAAAATAACTGTCCATAGTATTCGACTGTACAAATACAGATGTGACAAGAGATTAGATTGAAAAACACTCGCGTATTCCTTTAATACATGCTAATATATTATGAAATATAACTTCCTTTATTTCACAGATGCCAGACTCACAATAATAGGCTTTTCCTCTGCTCTCCCTACCTGCTGAGTCATCCAGGTCAATGAGCTTTGGCATGAGGCTCTCTGGGAGCTTCTCAGGAAGGTCATAACCATTCTTTCTAGCAACCACAAGATGAAATGCTGCACAGAACTCATCCAGGGTCAGTGCACCGTCTTTATCAAAATCTGATAGCTCCCTGCAGGACAAAGGACGTATAGCTTTAGTTGACAAGACAAATTAAACACTTTAGAGCAAACTGGTGGTATACTTTGTGGTTTTCACAGGAAGCCAACTTCCTCTTAAAAGCATGACGCAGGCAAAGTAATGCAGATAGTGCACATGGCGAATAGCACAAACAGTTAAGAACAATTTGCAAAGTGCAGTAGAAACAACAGCCCTCACTCCTAAAAGTATCAGAAAGTAGCTAATGCGCTGTACAAGCCCTTGGTCTTATATCTGTTTTCAAACAGGCTTAAACAAGGCCACCCCAGCTGAACACAAACAATGAAGGACAAAGTAATCTCAGTAAAGCTACTTACCAAATGTGAGACAATTCTAGAATAGGCAGCTTTGACTTAGTAAAAAACTCCTTTGCAGCAGAGCCTGAAACAAGAGTGATCCACCAGTTTGAGATAAGACAGAAATTCACACCACAATGTATGAATGAAAACGTATTCATAGTTATCTACATATGCAGTGTAGGGCTGCACAATATGGAAAACATTCTAGTAGACATCGCAACTACAATGCTAGATGTTGCCATTGCAATACGCTTTGCAATATACTGAAAACGCACTAATGACTATTATATAATTAATTTCACTACTAATTAGGTTTGCATCAATTTATGCATAGTTTGGCATACTAAATAATACTGACCTGAGGGAAAAGGCAAATACCGAAAAGAACTGACAAACTTTACAGAAAAGCATGCTCAGTTAAGGTGGATAAGCACAAGTTTGTTTATCGTGTCCAGCCATAGCTGTGAAACACCATAGCAGGTACCAATTTACTAATGCAGAAATTAAAAAGCACCTTTATCTTATCAAAGAAAAAAAAAAGAAAAACATTATGGTGATATTAGACATACGCATACGCATACAGTGTGCTGTAGATTTTATGATGTAAATACTGACATAAAATTAAACAAAACAATATGAAGTTACTCAATAGGCTTGAGCTGACTGACAGTATCGTGGATTGCTGACAGACTACACTTACTATCACTAGCAATCAAGTTAAATGACTTAAATGTGAGAAAACGTGCTGTCTGCAGCTTAAAGATACGCAGAAGCAATCATATTTGTCTCATAGTATGTATTTTAGCACGTTTTCTTTAAATGGGTAGTCCAAGCCCATTTTACTCTAAATCGTGCTTGTTACACAGATAAAGCTAAATAAAAAAAGTCAAAGTCCATTACTGATATTAATATCATAATAACAATATGCTACAATAAAAGAAAGCAACAGTAAAAGCAGCCAGTAGGCAGACGTCACGGTAAGCTTTAGCCGTTAAATGCTCAATTTATCAAATCTATAGCAACAACTAAACCATACAAAAACTACCAAACCATAAGCAAGGACATAGCTAGCTTAGAAGCTTCTGAGAAGCACCTTAAGTGTGATGAAACATGTTATTGAAGAATAGTGCATCCTTTCAGTCAGCATTTACAGATTTTTTTCAGAAAAAAATCGTTCTCAGGGTGTGCTTGTTGTGCAGGGAAGCAACCCAGCAAAGCAACATTGTACAATTCTGTTTCCAAAAAAGTTGAGATGCTGTGCAAAATGTAAATAAAAACAGAATGTAATGACGTGCAAATCATTTAAACCCTCTATTTAATTTAAACTAGTACAAAGACAACATGGGAAATGTTGAAATTGAAAAACAGCTACAACATTTCAACATTTGATATGTTGTCTTTATACTGTTTTCAATTAAATATAGGGTCTGAACTTTTTTTTGAAAGACGTTTGTACATGATCACAAAAGTCTTTTGCTCATCATTAAAAATTTGTCTATAAACTCTCTCTATATGTCCCTGAAGTGTTTTTACAAAAGCAATGTAGAGAATTTTGTGCTGGTTGTTATTCTCATTATTATTATTATTATTATTATTATTATAATTATTATTATCACATTTCGTTTTTCTGTTGCTTGTCTAAATTTAATTTGACAGCTAAATGGGAATCTGTCCACAGAAACCCTCAACAAAATACCCGCGGAAATTTACCTGGAACAAAAAAACATTGACTGGTTAGAGGCCTCATTTGTATTTTGTCACCATATGCAATATCTGTATTGCAAAGGTCAATATCATGAAGACAATTTAAATAAGATATATTATGCAGCCCTAATAGAAAGAGACAATTTCAGGATGTACTCACCAGGAATAAAACCTGTCAGATCAGGCTGAATAGTTTTGAACTGATTAATGTAATACTGTCTTTGCTCTTCTGTGATTTTCCAGGGGTCATCATAGCCACTGGCCTGTCTTTGGATTTCATTTGTAGTAGCAGCTGATGCCACTGTTCGTACTGTTGTGCTCTCCTATAGTCAGCGATAGTACAGAAGCAGTAGGAAAATAAACCGGAACAAATTTAGCTCATAACGAGGATAAAAACAGTATGTTATGGTGTCATAAAGCATTTAAAGCAGTGCTCAATCCATTCTGAAACACCAAAAACAGCAATAAAGACTCTAAACTATAAGAGAGACCACAGAATCTGGTGTTGGACAATGGATAAGTAACAAATAAAACAGCTTAGGATCAGGAGACCACAGCAAAGTTACGAATTGTTTCATATGTAAACATTTGCTCAGCTCCCATGGATACTTGCTTTGTTTGCTACAGGTATCTGTAAAAAGGTCTACCCTGTCTTGGCTCAACAAATATTGAACCAAGTTGGGCTGACCTGTTCATGAAAGCAGATACCCATAACACAGGAGCTTTATAAACAGGTGGACGTTACTGTACCTGAGCAGAAGAGGGATGCATTGCTGGAAGTGTGCTGGAGGGAGGAGTGTCAGTAAAACTGACCCAGCTTTCCTGAACCGGAGGAGGAGAGTGTGCAGACCAAAGCCCATCACCTGTCACCGGACCTGTTTTGTGGGCAGAAAAGGGTATGATGAAAAGTTGCATTAAAGTTGCATGTAACAGTAGTTAATAGTGAAAACCACTCACACTCAGTATTTGCCAAGAAGCTGCAAAGCCTTTCAGCTTGTAACCCGAGACCGCACAGTCGCCTTAATCAGCTGGCCAAGTGAGTTAACTTATTAACTCATTATAATCTGATATTTGCTCCTTCAACAACAAACTGCTCTAACTTTATTTTGCACTTTATGTATGTCGCGTCATTAGTGCTTATTTGTGGCGTACCGGTATAAAAGTAATGACAAAACTCATACCTTTAGAAGAATTTCATACCAGAACCAGTATATTTCCCACTACTAATGATAGTTATAGCTAGCTTTTAGCTATAACTCTGACCTCACAGAAATTTGATCTGGTAAGTGCACCACATTGGTATTTGTAGATTTTATCTGAGACACAGAACACAGCTTTTATTATAATAACATTTTAAATAATAATAACAATAATAATAATAATAATAAAAGTGTAATTGTATATAAATATCAGGATGTAGAGGCACCTACATTTTCATATATGTATATATATATATATATATATATATATATATATATATATATATATATATATATATATATATATATATGAGGTTTGAGCAAAAAAATTAAATATGATGCCAGTCTGGAAGTCAAAATGGTGGTGATAGGAACCAGACATCTGCGGAGTTGATTGCCTCTAAAAGCTCCATCACAGAAAGTTATTTCTTGATAGTTCAGAATACTCTACTTGATATCTGAGACAGAGGGTTCTGGTCTTAAATATAACTTTCTAAACCTATTCATGGTGGAGAGAAACATGCAGAGTGCTGAAAGGCAGACCCCAAGGATTTTTTTTTCTTTTTTAGATTTACCACCATTATCAGCACTACATATGAAAACTCATAAAACGTGTGGGTTCCCTGGTGCTTTTGGAAAGTAAACAAAGTTGCTTTATTTGTGTTTTAGATATGCACTGTGAGCCCTGGTTCCTATGAACACGACTGTAAACAAAGTCAGAGCTAGAGTTGGTAAGTTTCTCTATAATCAAGTCAAGTCAAAGTTTATTTATATAGCGCTTTTTACACCAGGTGTTGTCACAAAGCAGCTTTACAGAAAAATCTGGGTCCAAGCCGCCATAAGCGTCACCAATGGTGACAGTGGCAAGGAAAAACTCCCTAAGAGCAAAAGGAAGAAACCTTGAGAGGAACCAAGCCTCAAAAGGGGAACCCATCCTCCTCTGGTCGACACCAGATAGCAAACAGCGTTACTATAAAATATCAGAATACAAATGGTGGTCAATGAACCATTTCACACCAAACTACCCTGGATGACTTTATTTACTGAACTCAACGACTGAATTATGCAGAAATATTGAAAAATTGGTGGAATACCATCATAAGCGAAAGATCTGGTTGCAGATAAATGTATAAAATGTTCTAATCTACTAGGGCTGTGCGCTTCATAGCTTTCACATAGCTAGTAAAAAATCTGTAAGACTGTAAAATAAATTCATTTATTAGGTATGCACATGTTGCTAAAAAGACTAAAAAACCACACTGATTTGGGAACGTTATGGTGAGATAACATCCAGCATTTTCCAATATGTTGATCAACTCCTGAGGCAGATAATTAAATAATGACATTATATTATCATTAAAAATTTCAAACCCAAAATACTTGGAATTTTGAAAAAATCTAGTAATACTTTTGGGTCATTTGGTGTCTAGTTTATCATATTTAAATATACTGTGTATGTCATTATTGTATATATCAAAAATACTAATAATACACTTGATTCCAAACTTTTTAACAGCAGTGTGCATCCATTGCCAGAAAGACAGAAGGAGCTCTGTGCTCCTCTTTGTCGGTGAGTACCTGATTGTGCTTCTCTAAAAGGTGGCCACACGGCTCCTGCCACTGCAGGCTGTCGTTCCACAGCACCGCCGCTGGCCTGCCGCTTGTGCTTTCTCCATGCGTGGGGTGAGGTGGGCGGGGACTGATGAGGGGAGACTACAGGAGACGTGGTGTCTGGCTGGGGTCAGAGAGAGATAGAACAACAATTATCACATCATCATCATCCATGCCTTTTGCAAGGACATACACCCAAACCAGGAACTCTGTTGGGTGTGGTGTGAAATTACCAGAAACACTCACTTTACAGAGCAGATTCATTCGAAACTGACATGTGATACAAACAGAAAGAACATAAACAAGGGCTGGATATCGAGTATATTGACCAAAAAAATTGACCAAAATAATGATTTGGGCTGTCACTATTGCTTTGAGCAATCTACCAATTATTACTAGATTACTAGATTAACAGAGTAATGAGAGATTAGGCCAAACAATAAAAAAAGGAATCTGCTTAACAATAACAAACCAAGCACAGCCTTTCAAAGACAAAATACATTACTGGAATAAGATAAACTAGAGACCCTTAAAAAAGCCTTCATTATCGAAATAAAAAGTTCTAAATACCCTATGCAGCCTATAAATGAATATAAATGAATTTGTCAATCTTTCTTTCTATAAGATCAGAGCCTGTCTCATGAAGTTAGCTTAACCTAGACAGGGTTCCTGACTAAGTTTCAGCTTCATAAGACCTGAAACATAGAACTACAGTTAACTTATTTTATGTAGGCAGCTTTCTCTGTTAACCCAGGATTAGATACTTAAACTAGGATTAATCTTCACATGCATGCACACGAAAGAATGTGGTAAAACACAAGGAGAAGTCGAGTGCCTTATTTCTCAAAGAAGGAAGAAGAAATTTGTAGAGATATGTGGAAAGCAAAGCATTTATCACTAAAGCACTAAAAAAACAACAGTATCACGACTGCTTATTGGAATAATAACTGCCTTTTATTCTTCTTATTCTATTTATTTAGTATGATTAAAAAAAAAGAAACAAGAAAAACAATATTCTTCACATGGCCGACGCCACAAGTGTCATAAACAAAAAAAAGTGATGGGAGGGTTCCACCTCCATTGTCCCTAATTGTTTCAGCAACTGTTTATGATCAGAAATCCCAAATGTAACCTGTCCTGGAGAAGGTTTTGTGTGTAGCATAAGTGGCGATGTTGTCAGGTGAAAAAAGGATCCACCATAAAAAAAAAAAAAAATCCAAGGTTCGATCAAACTAATCTTAAAGTTTCCCTGCTTTGTGAGACAGACGCCAGCAGAATAATTTAAGATCAGACAAGTTACTAAGTAATCAATGCCGATTCATCAACAAGCTACGTTTAAATCAGTGATCTCTTTTTTTAATTGAGTAGTGGTGTTCAACTGACAAGAGACCTAATTACACACTAACAATATCACTAAAAACACACCTTGCCTGCAACATTTTAACATATTTAAATTGGTTGGATTCTATTCATTCAATCAACCAAGGAAACATATCTGGAACATCTGAAGTTAATCAGCCTGCAATATTGCCATAATAATTCACAATATGTCGTGCAGCCCTAGCACAAACATTTTCAATAGTGGCAGGTTCTTGAGAAAGTCACTGCAGGGCTAGGTTTATCTGCCCAAAAACATTTTTTGTTTATACGGAAATCTCTCACGCAGTCAATACACAGGTTTTGGCAGAACATCCTGAACATCTAGTGGCAGAATGTAGAAGCTTGCAGTTGTGACTAACAGAGAACTGGGGTGACGTCAGTAGCAAAGATGTGAGTAGTTTGTAGATGAACAGTCCACCGACCTGAGGATCGACGGTGGGCACACAGGGCTGGATGACCTCATGAGCGGACACTTTTTTGGGCTGGACTCTGCCAGGGGGCCTGGGGATCACACTAGAGTATGGCCCCTGGTTCTCCGTGTCCGGATACATGGCCGTGTGCCTGGCCTCCTGTTCATTCTTGCCCATCACAAAGCGCGGGAGGGGCAAGTCTTTCACTGCAAAACCAAGCACAGTAGAGCAATACAGTACATTAGAGAAAACGATCTGAGAAAACGAAGCTGAAAGCTCTTTGTCTAAGCAGTAAGCATTTATGTGTTTAAATACAAATAAACAGAACATTGTATTTTGATGTGAGTGTTTAACCATTTTCAAAGCTTTCCTTAAGGAAGTCCACTAGTTAGTTACCATTCAATACCTTGTCTATCAAATCAATCCTTCAATAAATTAAATCAGGTGCTGCTGATGGAATTTCACAAATCCATGAGATGGCTAGGGCGCAATGAGAAGTCAGGATTAAATCGATGCTCTTCAAACTATATTCCTCCAATCAACACATTAATAACTTACTAAAAATAAAACATTCTTATGTTTCACTGTATTTCTGTTTATTTGTCTTTATTCTAATGTTATATAGTGTTTTACTGGCCACACACTTTCTGCTGAGATAAATAGTTTTAAATAATTTTCTTGGCTTTTGCACAGTACTGTACATGGTAATACCTGACAAATAAAGTAGTCATAATAAGCCAAATAACTAATTATCTGTAAAAATCTGATTGGTCCTTTATGAGATGATTCATCATCCAATGAAATCAAATTTCATCAAGATTCATTTCAATTATTTTGGTACGGCAATCAGAAGAAGTTTTAAAAATAGGCTGAACAGACAAATATAAATAGAGGAACTATATGCACAGTAGTGCATTTCTGATAATAAAACAATCCACCAAGATTGTTGGGTGTTATTGCAGTTTTATACATGAAAATATCCCCAAAAATTTAATTTGGTCCAAAAAATGTTTTAATGAATATTATTCTAACTGATTCTAACATTACAAAATGAATGAAGTTGAATCGCCACCCTCAAGTTCATGCATAACAAGGCACTGATGCATCAAAACACTGATGCATCCGGCCATAGGTTAGTAACTTTCCAACCCCATTGCTTAGCATAATCACAAGACGTACACAAAGCTAATGAGACAAGAGTCTTCGATGCCTTTCACGCTACTATGGTTAATTTTAAAGGCAGCAGAGGAAACAGTCCTTCTAAAGTGTATCTGTGCTTCAGGGCCCCTTTTTGCAATTTCCTGTTGACTCAGTTTCCATTCTCTTACAGTATCTCCAGGCCTGCAGGGATGTCCTTATTTCCTGCTTATTTACATGGCCACCCGCTTTTCATTCCTTCTCATCTATGAAACTAGTCATTTCCCCATATCCTGAACACAGACTTTAAGAGCTAGTGACTGAAAACACTGCAGAGGAGACAACACAGACTTTTGCATTTTGACAACAGAAACACATCTAAGAAACTGTAGTTAAGCTGAAGCATCAGTGCAGACCACAATTCTTGTGACAGTTTTTCAGTAACGGTGGGGTGGAATTAAATTATGAATTTGAGGAGCAGCTTTACGTAATCCTACATAATCTTTACTGACTGAGCTTTTTCTGCAGTCAGTAGAACTCAATAAAGTTTATTTCGAAAAGGCAAAATAACACTGAATCACATAGACAAGCTTGACAGGCATCTTTAATGATTCGCAGAAAACCTGACTTTGCTTACCGCTGTTTAGGCTCTCTACACGAAGGGGCAGTCCAGACTGGGCTATTGCAATGAGTTTCAACGCAATGTAGAACTGACTCCGACCAAAGTGGCCAAGCCGGGTGGCACCACAGAGTTCAGTAATCTGAAACAACAGAAACAAGTCAGAACCTTTACTCCCCTTAAAAAAGAATCAAGGATACCTAAGCACATCTGTAATACTCAGATGAAGCCTCTATCTCAGATCATCAGGATCAAAAGTATAAAGTTTGCACGACACAGAGACACGCCCCTTTAGATACAGGTTCACACACAGCTTTGGCAAACCACTCCATAACCACTAATGTTGTAATGTCAAGCATAAGAAAGCCCTCACAAGATCGCTGCTCATGTGTTTCTCAACTATCTAGTGAGGAAATGATATTTTAATTTAAATTTCAGCCCCACAGAATTCATTTAAGAATGACAAGCAAACATTACATTAATGAGAAAGAATCAAGACAGCAAACAAGACTCAGATGAACAATAAACTGATGATGTATTATAATTTGTTGCAGGAAGAAAAGCTGTAACAACTAAGTTATGTATGTACTGAATAATTGTGTCAGAACAAAAACCTGAATCCCCATTTTCGCAGAAATTTATATACATATAAATTTTACATAATCTGAAAATTCCAGGTGCCTTTTACATTCTATCAACATTTGAGCAATAGAAATGAACTAAAATGACTTGGAATAAAATCTTTTCACATTAACTTACAATAAAAATTAAGGATGTTTTTCCCTTCTTCTGTACAGTTCCTATATTAGAGATACAAGATTTTGGTCCAACAGCAAGGGAAAGTAAAATAGAAGCATATCGGGAATTGAGTCAATGCAGATAGTCAATGTTTTTCATTTACTCAAAAACATTTGTAAAATGTAGAAATTAGGACCACATTTATGTGAATTAGCATTATGGAAAAATAATACTTGACTACCATTTATTTACAAATAAAAATGCATGAAAATGAGTAGAATAAAATATGACATTTTAGCTCACTAGCTTCTGCTCTTCTCATGCACAATAAATCAGTTTCAAATATTGGTCAAATATAAACTTGTGTCTAATGCTAATCTTTCTTTTTTAAGCAATTATCTGCTGATTTTGATAGGATTGTAACAGTATGGTGCACCCCTACTATTCAAAAAGTAAACAGTAAATCCCACAAGTTGAAGACAGTATTATGACCATGCATTGTGCTCTATCATCACTTTATTTAGTTAAGCTTTTACCAAGAGTTCACCATAATGGCCCATTTATAAGAAACAACAACAGTCAAGTAGCATTCATTGGGTAAAGCCTTCCAAACATTAGTTAAGGAACTTGTGTTAGACAAAAATGGCACAGAACAGCTTTGTATTTATTCAGCTAGTTTACATGATCTACTCTAGATATCCAGTGCATTGAAGCGATGTGATAAGTCCAGCACAGTTGTGAATTATCATAAGTGTGTTTAACCAGCTGTGACAGTTGTTAGATGTTATCAGGCTGTGTTGAATCCTTCCTTCAAAATATTAAATCAAGTGCTGCTGATGGAATTTAACAAATCCGTGAGATGGCTGGAGGGCAGCGAAGAGTCAGGAATCACATCTGTGCTCTTCTAACTTGTTGGCTATCTTCTAACCAACATATTAATAACTTATTAAACACAAAACATTTTTATGTTTGACTACATTTGTTTATTCGTTTTCATTCTAACATTATATAGTGTTTTTGTCCAAACAACTCACTTTCTGCTGAGATAAATGACTTCACACAAATTCCTTGGCTTCTGCACAGTAAAGTACATGGTAATATCTGACAAATAAAGCACATGTAATAAGCCAAATATGTAAATATCTGTAAAAATCTGACTAGTCCTTTATGAAATGATTCATTCCATAATAAAATAAACGTAATCATGATTCAATTCAATTATTTTTATTATCATAAGCATGTTTAACCAGCTGTGACAGCTGTTAGATGTTATCAGGCTGTGTTGAATAGCAAAGCCATGTATGCAGACAGTAACTCTCTAAGAGAACACCACAGCTAACAGTTATACACGATAAGGCGTGTTCTCGATCACACCTAAAAAAGATGGTTCTTCAAGGGCTAAGGCAATGCTACTATTTAGAACCATTTTGCTCTTAAATGGTTCTCTGCAAGATAAAATGGTTATTCAGACTGATGAACAACGTGCTGCATATGATTCTTTATAGAATCTTTTTGAAAATGGCAGCAAAAAAAGGGTTCTTCTATTGTTACAGGCTTGACATCATAACAACAGCAGAACCCTTTTGGTGTTTTATAGAACCATATACAACACAATCTCTAACGATCTGAAGAACCATTTCAGCATGGAAAGATCAATTTAAGCATGAAAACAACTGTATATAAAACTCATTGTTCTACACAGAACCACTGCCTTTCCTAAAGAACCCTTGAAGAACCATCTTTTTTAAGTGTGTAGGTTAGCTAACGTTAATCAAATGAAAGTAACCCAGCTAACAAGCAAGCAGCTGCACAGAACAGACAGATCTGTAGATGACAGCAAATGCAGAAAAGCAGACGAGGCTTAAGTTGGCTTCCTATTCGAATTTTTTCCGCTCCACCTTAAATGGTGCAGCAGTTACATTCTGGCGCCTGAGGCACCATGTAACTGCCCATTTAAGGTGGAACGGGAAAATTCGAATAAAAAGCTGACTTTAGCTTCGTGAAAAGCAGCCTGTAATAAAATGTTTATAACACGCAGAGCTTGCATATGACACCCAGCCTCGTAACTCAGCAGCTTTACCTGCAGCACCACGTCGTTGGACAGCTGGGCCGCCCGGAAAAGGTCGAGCACTTTGCCGTTGGACGCCACTTTCTTGGTGTTGTCCACATCGCAGTAGATAAACAGATCCGAATAATATTTCTGCTCGACATCGCTCAACGTCAGACTCTCCATCGTAGCATACAGCTGGCTGAACTACAAAACGACGAGCCGGACCGGACCGGGCTGCTGCTGCTGCTGCAGTGTCACTGAACTCAGCTTAGCCTAGATTAGCTCAACCAGACAGCTACCAAAACACCCAACCAAAGACGAATCCCGCTCCTTCACTTACTCAGCGCACTCCAAATCCCCACCCGTGAAATGTACGGACACCAAAGACAGACTGTTTTCGCTTTTCTGTCACTGTTAGCGACTGTTACGCTGCTGAGTCTCTAACGTTAGCTTATTAGCAGCAGGCTAGCGAGAGGCTAACAGCTAATCAAACTCCTGAATTCGCTGACGCTGTGATTTTATTTATTATTATTGTTTTATTTTCCCCTTCCGGCGCAGTAATATCACCCTGCCTGTCTTTTCGAGGGCCTTCTCTATTCAGCGACGGAGCGAGGCGTCTGCGGAAATGTCGAGTTTTGTTAAAAATGCGCTGATGTGTTTGTTAGTAAAGTTTCGGGCTCCTCCGCTCAGCAGCGCCGCCATTCCTGAAACGTCATCACGCAGGCATCATGAGGACGGAAGACCCGGATGGAGCGCCACTTAGTGGAAGGCTGTGGTTGCGTCCCAAACCTCATACTACACCACTAAAAAGTGTGTAAAATAATAGTCCACCACCGTTGGAGGTGCATTCATTAGTGTAGAATGTAATGTATAAAAGTGTGTGGTTTGAGACGTAGCTGTGTCTTAAATCGACACTGGCACATAGTGAATGACAGTCCAACGGCCTGCCCCAAAGTCCAGACTCGAGTTTTGTGGCTTAACTGCACACTTAACGTGACGTATTTCCGAAATGAGCAAAAGTGAGCAACTAACTAACTGGGGGTTCAGCCATTCTCAAGAATGTCCCAACATAGACAGTGGTGGTGACGCTTTGTTCTTTATATAGTGAAACAGCTAGGAATACAGCTATTCTCTAGGGCAGTGGTTTTCAACTTGTAGGCTGCAGCCACCATTGGGCCGTGGTAGTGCTGCTAGCAAGCCACTGGCTATCAGTTTTTTTTTTAACCACGGAGAATCGTAACAATATAGACATTTAACCAAAAATATTTTAAATATGGTAAACATTGTTGATTATTTGCAAAAATAAAACATCATATTTAAATGGAGCTTATTGATCATTCTTGCTTAATGCTAGCTAGTTATGTTTATACATACATAATATAGCATTTATACAAATGCTATATTAATTGAAAATAGTACAAAGACAACACATCAAATATTGAAACTATGAAATTGTATTGGTTTTTTAAAAATATATGCCCATTTTGAATTTGGTGCCAACAACATGTTCCAAAAAAGTTGGGACGGGCGGGCAGCAAAAAGCTGTTAAAGTTGTTTAATACTAAAAAAAAAAATGTTTCGCAACAGTTCAGTAACATGATTGGGTATAAAAGAGCATCCCAGAGAGGCTGAGTCTTTCAGAAGTAAAGATGGGGAGGGGTTCACCACTCTGTGAAAGACTGCATGAGCAAATAATGCAACAATTCAAGAATAATGTTTCTCAACATAAAACATAAAACATTGCTTTTCATCATCTAAAGAACATAATACCATTAAAAGATTCAGAGAATCTGGAGAAATCTCTGTATGCAAGGGACAAGGCCAAAAACCAGTCTTTGCTGGCCGTGATCTTTGGGTCTTCAAACATGATTCTCCAGTGGAAATCACTGTATGGGCTCAGGAACACTTCTGAAAAACACTGTCTGTGAAAACAGTTTGTCGCTGCATCCACAAATGCAAGTTAAAACTCTAAAATGCAAAGAAGAAACTGTACATAAACAGGATCCAGAAACAGTGTCTTTGTACTATTCTCAATAAAATATACGGTTTAAATGATTTGTACATCATTGCACGTCCCAACTTTTTTGGAAATAGAGTGGTATTTTCAGTATAAGCCAATGTAAAACATTTCATTTTTTCCATCATATGGAACACATCTATCATGGATAAATGGTGAAAATGGTCTTTCAGAAGGAAATATCCTGAGGCTGGGCTGTCTACAAGTAAAGAGGCCACCATATCTCAGACTGAGAAAACAGAACACGGAAAAAAACAAGCATAAACTGTAACAGAGAAAATACAGCAGTGAGAAGTTAGCACTGGGTTTCATGTGTGTATGAACTGAAAACAAATAACTACAGCTCTGCGCTGTACATCCAGAGGTATTTTCCAATGAAGCTTTAAAACCCAACAAATTACACCATCACTCTAAGATTAAACATATCAAATAGATATTTCAACCTATCAAATTTAGCCAGAACTCTGTTTGCAACTTTCTTCTATTCAGCCTGACATACAGCACTTGGTAGCTGCCAGACGAGACCAGCTTTCACTGGGTGAGTCAGATAAAATGATCAGATCTGTTAAATCTTCTTATGGGCCAAGGGAGCCTTTGTGTTTGTTTGTGTGGGCTACGAGTTGCAAAAGGTTGGGAATCCCTGTTCTGAGGTATGCCAATGTAGATGTCGGCTGTGTCTTAAAAGAACTATGAGTATGTTATTAAATATATGACAGACTGAAGTTCAGAGCACTGGAATGTGTAATCCTTCAGTCTGAACAAAAAAAAACAACAAACAAATGAAAAAAAAAAAAACCTTGCTACATAAGACTAAGGGTTTAAAACAGATGGCAGTGATGCGTAATTTCCACTAGAGGGCAAAACAAGCAAAAAAAAAGGAGGAATTCAATTCTGAAAGTCTGACATGATTAAAATGTCTGACATGATTAAAATGTGTCAAGAGGTTGCACATGAAAAACATGTATTACATGATCACACATAACACATAAACGTAAAGCAAATGTGTTGTACAGCCTTTATGTGCAACTACTGGACGTGATAAAATTATGAGACTTTCTTTTTCACTGTCACGCCTGGTCAAATTACATATTGTGGTGATTTTCTAAGTGAAAATAAGTTCCTAACACCTCCTCCACAGAGAATACACTTCTCTGCATTTTAATGCACAATTACTGTTTATATGAGTTCAACACATTAGCTGCAGCACTGCACTCACAACCCACACTGCTGAGGAGATGAGGAGCAGGAGTGTTTCTGCAGGACGGAGGATGCTGCACAGTGTGGTAGTGATGACAGTATCCCACGGTGTGTTCATGCTAAGTTTATCTTTTTGGTTTGAGATGAGCATTACAAGCATTCACAAGTTTGCTGAAAATGATGAAATGAAGGCAGACACGCTCTGTTTCACCATTAGCAGGATTACATAGGTAGGTTCACTGGTGGTTTTGGATAGTAAATAAAATGGCTATATTTGTATTGTACACATCATCAGTAAATTTCACAACAATGAACCATTTCACCAAACCATATAATTGTGCAGAAATTTTGGTGGAATTCCCCTTTACTTGTTTCAGGTTGAATGATGTTCTGCTGCTGAAGTTTTTCCAGCAGGCTGGCTTGCGCCTGTGCGCCCTCTAGAACATTTCATGGCACTAAATCAAATTATTAAAGATGAATCGTGTTGTTAAACCTAATAGTAATTCAACCTGGGTGCATTTTAATTTTAACAACTGCGCTTATATGTAAAAGTTTAGGCCCCCCCTGGTTAAATTACACATTTTTGTTGAATTTTTAAAGTAAAAATAGGTTAACACATTCTCTACCGAGCAATACTTCACCAAACAGAGAACACACTTCTGCACATTTCAATGTACAATGACTGTTTATTTGCTGAATTTAACATGTTGGAAATAAATAATGTGGCCTGCCCTGAAAGCCCTGAAATTATGTGTGCTTAAATAATCACATTATAATTACTTATTTTCTTGAAATTAGTTGTTATCACGCAGGTTGTTGAAAACTCAAGTGTACTTATTTTTGTATTATATATATTTATATTTTCTGACTAAATAAAAAAGACAAGTAATGAGAGAGTTGGGGGGGGGGTACCCACAGTTCATAGTGAGTAAGTTTTAGACTATATATATATATATATATATATATATTATATATATATATATATACACAAGGCTGAATGGAAATGTGTGGCATAATATTGCACAATTAAATTCAAACATTTTATTTATTTATTTATTTATTTTTGGCCTTAATTATTTATCTTTGTTGAAGGTAGTGCAGATAACTTCTCTTCCATGTTTCTTTCACTTGAATTACATATCTTCTACATTCTGTAATGACAACGGGATTCTGTAAATATCCACTAGATGGTGCAGCTGTCCATAAATTCACTTAATTTTACCACGACCGTCACAGGAATTCAAACAGTACTGCTTCATGTTGTAACTTGAATGAAATAATAATATTATTTTTTTACACACATAAAATAATTCATGGAACTAATCATTAAAAACATTGTCTCTGTGTAGTCTGTGTGTCCAGGACTTAGATGTGTCCTACACTGATAAGTGTAGTACAGTAATGAGTTCAAACACAAATAGTTAACAGATCCATCAGTTCATCTGTAAGCAGACGGCAACGAGCTACTGATTTTCCTTCATGTAAATGTTACAAAATGTTTGTAACAGCAAAATAGATTAAAAAAATTCCTAATTCTAAACAAATAAGGGCTGCATGCAAATGGTTTCAAACTACATTTGAAATTGTGAAATAATCTCCACAGCAAAACCCCTGGAGAACTTCTACAGTGTTGAATTAAAACCCTTGCAGTGTTAGATTCATGCTTACAATCTTTATTTAAACCCAGCAGGCAAGAATTAATTCAACATAAATTTTAATCCAACACAATACGAGTTTTAATCCAACGTTGTACAAGTTTTAATCCAACACTATGAGTTTTAATCCAACATTGTACAAGTTTTAATCCAACACTATAAGAGTTTCAGTCTAGCACTGTAAGAGTTTTAATCCAACATTGTAAGAGTTTTAATCAAGCACAATAAGAGGTTTAATCCAACATTGTAAGAGTTTTAAACCAACACTGTAAGAGTTTTAGTGTAACACTATAAGAGTTTTAATCCAACATTGTAAGATTTTTAATCCAACACTGTAAGAAGTTTAATTTTACACTGTAAGAGTTTTAATCCAACACTGTAAGAGGTTTAATCTTTCATTGTAAGACTTTCAGTGCAACACTGTAAGAGGTTTAATCTTTCATTGTAAGACTTTTAATCCAACACTGTAAAAGGTTTAATCTTTCATTGTAAGAGTTTTAATCCAACACTGTTTTAATCCAACACTGTAAAAGGTTTAATCTTTCATTGTAAGAGTTGTAATCCAAAACTGTAAGAAGTTAATTCTAACGCTGTAACAGTTTTAATCTAACACTGTAAGAGTTTTATTTCAACACTGTCAGAGTTTTAATCCAACACTGCAAGAGGTTTAATCCAACACAATAAGAATTTTTATTTAACACAAGAGTTTTATTTCAGCCCGATAAAAGCAAGCTTTGTACATGTACACATGTATACAATGTACAAGTTTTAATGCAATACTGTAGGATTTTAATCCAGCACTATAAGGGTTTTAATCCCACCCTGTACAACACTTTAGTCTGAGACTAATCCAAGGCTAATCCAATATTTTTAGAGTTAATTTAACACTCTAGGTGTTAATCCACCTCTGTAAGTTTTAGTCATTATAATTTGACAGTGTGAGTTAATGTAACAGAGTGTGAGCTGATGTAACCATAATATAAGTGTTAATTCAACACTGTAAGAATTTTAATCCAAAACTGCAGTATTTATACTAGCACTGTAAGAGATTATCCAACGCTGTAATAGTTTTAATTCAACACTGAGTTATTTTGCTGTGAATGTAACAGCTAAACTGCAAGGCTGGGTGAACTAATGCTGAACTATTGATACTTCTGCTCCTGACATGCGTCTCTGATAATTGATCCTCACATAAAAATACAGCATTTTCTTTAAGTGTTTTTTTTATTATACATTTTACTAAACTGTCATTAATGCTGAAAAAGCTAAAAATGATTGTAGTGTATAAGTTTGTAGGTTAGGAATTTTCCTGCCATCCTCTATCTCTCCTTCTCTATAATGTTAGAACATATGAAGTTATTTCACTCCACTAAACATTCAGTTTATGCATATTTGTTTACATATGCATGTATGTTTATTTTATATTACTGCAAAGGCTTTTAAATGTATGTGTATCTGTACTGGTATTGTGATATTAGCCTTGAGTTGGTATTGGATTGAAAAGCAAAGCAGTGGCCCTACTAAACTGGCCTAAAAGTACAGAGGTCAATAATAATAATAATAATAATAATAATAATAATAATAATAAAAATAAATAATAGTACTATGCTCTTAATTATATAACAGCACAATTACAAATAACAGAAGAAAATAGGCCACAATACTAGCATATGCTAGTATAAATAAATATCTAAGTATGCTACATGTATACATAAAGAAAATGATCTTCTATCAACTGAGCTGTGATCCCGGGAGTTTGCAGTAAGCCTGCCTCGGCTTACCATCAGAGTCTAGATGGGCTATAACACTTCACCAGATCAGTAAGATACACTGGAACTCAGCCATTAAGAGCTTTAAATGTCATAAACAAGACTTTCTTTTCCTGGTTATCACACGGGCTGCAGCGTTCTGAACTAGCTGTAGGCTATTTAGAGCTGATTGACGCTCTCATGTTAATTCAAGTCATTGTTAATGTAAAGTCATGGCTGTAGATTGGGGGTCCCAATCCCGGCCCTGGCAACCCCACACTGCACACATTTCTGTTCTTTCCTTCATGTAGCACACCTAATTCAACTAATTAAGCAGTTAATGAGGGCGAGGTCAGATTAGCACAGTAGAGAAAACACAAAAATGAGCATGGACTGATTCAGGGTAGATCATGGTGTTGGGAGGCCCCTCGGCACAAGCATCTTTGGAGGCCCCCCGAACTCTAACAACACATAATGAACAAACAAAGAAATAAAAAGTGAGATCAAGCACTTGTTAATGTCCATGTTTATGTGCACTTTGAGCAGCACAAATTTTGTTTTTAAAATAAACAAAAATTTGCCTCATTAATGTGCAATAATGCTATTGGGTCCTAATAATGTAAGATTTGTATGTCTACAGACATATTAAATCATGATTTATCATGTGAATAGTTCTTTGAGTGTTCATGGTTCTACACAGAACCATTGTCTTTCCTAAAGAACCCTTGAAGAACCATCATTTTATTGTATTTTATAACATTAAACTCTTTTTTGGCACTAAAATGTTTCAAAACTACATTTTTTAAGAAAAATAAAAATTAAATGAGTCAATAGTATATAAATATGTTTGTCCTCTCGCTGGATGAGGCGGTGGGGTTAGGGTCGCTTTCTGGTGGGCCAAATCAGACGTCTTCAGGGGCCACACTTTGGTCAGCTGTGCACTAAAACATTCCATTTGAATGGCAACAACAAAGTCCAAACTTGAGAGTCCTGAGAGCAGATAACATTTCTCCATTTATTCCATTCATTTAGTCATTGGTAGATTTTCAATGGCTATTCGCTCAGCGAGTGTTTACATTCTGCAGCGGATTAATCCAAGTATTTGAGCCCCTTGGGCTGGTGGTCTGAGGCCTCTCCAAGACCGTTGGGCATTCAGAGGCCTCTGGGTGCTGGCCCCACTGGCCCGGTCAGTAATCCATCCCTGCATTAGAACCACCGCCCATACATTTCTTTAGTAACTTGCTCAGGTGGGTCAGTTTTATTGGCAGTTTAGGGAATCTCTCGCGCCTCCTCTATCGCCCCCTGGCGGCCTGGCTGTCCACGTTGCTCATGCCAACGTCACGTGCGCGCTTCAACTTTCAATCCACTTTGCTCCACGGAGCTGCACGCGCACGCTTGTATTCTTTCTGCATGAGCGTCTGTGAGTGCTGCTCCCCCTATACCCTGACCTTAAGGACTCAAAGCTGTGACCTCTTTTACTTTCTCTAGTAAAAGACAGCATTTGGGACAAACAAACAAACAAACAAACAAACGAACAAATCCCTCTTGCAGGCCAGCCCAGTGTCTCTACAATGCTTTCATCATCCTGGAGAAAACTGGACCTCACAAAGAGTTAAACGCGCGCGCGCTCACATACCCCGGCCCCCACGCGCCACCAAGCACTCATATACCCCCTACCACACACATGCTTGCGCGCGAGCGTTCGCATATATACTCGCAAGCACACCTATACCACCCCCCGACACCCACTCACATTTACACACACGCACACACACACACACACGCGTGCGCCCTCTCTTTCTCACACTTGCACACACGCGGGCTCGCGCTACGTCATCACCGGAGCGCGTGGGGAGGGTCTGAAGGAGGCGCTGCCTGTTTCGGCGGGACTGAGCTCGGGCAGTGCGCGCGGGTGGCACACAGGAGAGCGGAGGAGTGGAGAGGAGAGAGCAGGATGGAGAGAGAGAGAGCGAGGAGCGCGCGCACACAGCACAGCCACGCTTCAGCCGCGCGCACGCACTCCTGCACACACAGCTCCACACTCTGATCTGCACCGCCGGGAGAGTAACGCGCCTGAGCCTCCAGAGGAGCCTTCATCATCATCATCAGCTTCATCATCATCATCATCACCATCGACTGACCCCCTCTGACACCAAACTGTCCACAAACTTTGAGTCTCTGAGTGGAACATTTTCTGCAGCTGAAGAGCCACTCATACACTTGAAGGAAGCAACAAAACAGAAGAAAACTTCTTGGAAGAGAGGAAAAAAGGAGCAAAAGAAAGAAAAAGGAAAGGAAAAAAAAGAGCTGTTGTTTGCCCCCCTTCTCCAGGTGCAGCCCCCCGTGCCATGCGAGGGTAAATGCTGGGGGCACAATGTCCCGCCGCAAGCAGGGCAACCCTCAGCACCTATCCCTGTCCCACAGGGAACCAGCGCAGCGTGAGTATGACCTTATTATTCCCTGGCACTTTGGGTTCTGTGTCTTTTTTTGGATGGGTGTGCATTATTAGCTGGTTTTGAGAGCGCACAGCTTCATTTTTGCTTACATATTATTGTTTATTTGCTTTTATTTACATAGCGCAGCCTTATCTTAACACCTCTGCGTGAGTGGACTTGAGGCCGTGGTGCTTTTAAACTCAGCACATCTCAAATTCCTCTGTAAACAGAGCTCTGATAAGCTGAGTTTAATTGGCAGGGAATTTTCTTAAAAGTAGCTTTAAGATGATGCAAAACTTTAATTTAACAATATGTAAACAAACTCGATTGACTCCACTGAGCAAAGCTTGAAGCGACTGATGTTTGATTTTAGACTGCGTTATCATTCTTCAGGCATTTGTTTTGAACAGCTGGTCCATACTACAACTATAAATTTACTATTTTAGATACTACAAATAAGAAATAGGTGACAGAAATAACTGCGGTATGTTTGAGAGTAATAGAGTAACCAATGAAGGACGCAAAAAGGCCTCAGCTGCACAACACGCAGGCCAAAACACATCCAGACTAGTCAAGCGGTGTATTCTACTGACCAGCCATATCACAATCACTGTAAGATCATACATCTGTTTGGATAATGTGCTTTTATGGATTTTGCTCCATAACAGGCTCAGTTTATATCTTATATATTTCTGTCTCACCTGAAAATGCTCACCCTTCTTTAGATTTCACACGAACACTCACATGCACACATGGCAGCGTTTAGTTTCATTTGAACAGCAGCATGTTGTTCTCTCCACATTTTGGATTTTCCCTTCTTACTGTGAATAACATCGTCATCAGCATCGTCGGCCTCAGATAATCAATTTCTGAGTGCACGAGCCAAAATCGTGCTCACCTGAAATTTCATTTATCAAATGGAGCAGCACTCGAGTGATCCCCGTTCTGTGCGTTTCACTGCTAAAGTACAATTTCTGAATAGTGGCCTAATCAGCCTAATTCACAGCAGCAGGCTTTACTCAATCTGTTCCTTATCGAAGAGTTAAGAGCAGCCTAAGACACTTATGTAGGCAGATTTCGAAATAAAAGTGCATGCTGCCATAGTAAACACCATAGTAAGATCATTCAGTTGTTTTTATTACATTTTTATAATACTGAAGATGATTAATTTAGAATGTTAATACATTACTGATTCTTTGCTTAAGCCTTATGGTCTTAGGTCAAGCTTCATTTTTATTCTGCTTGGATTTGTGTTTTATTTATTTGTTTATTTTTTTTTTTTTTACCAGAGACTGACATATGCAACATATTTATCAGACGCTAATGGCTCACATGACGTCTACATTTTCTGTAAACCTGGCATTATTTGCCGTCACTAGTTGTAATTTTGCAGTCATTGTAGTTATTTTCCTATAATTGCAGTATTTATGAAAAAGTGCTGTTAAATGTAATATAACTCCTGGCACAGTATTGAATTACTGGATCACTTAATGAGCCTTACCATGTATGCAGTGTGTTATCAAAGACGATGAAGCAGAATAGACAGCAAAACTGAACTGGAAGCAGATAAAGGACGCTTTAATCAGGCCTTACAACCAGGAATTTAAGCCAATATCACCTCCATGCTTTGCCAAACAGTTAACTTTTAGATTTCGAAGTTGAGAAGTTAACGTGCAGACGAGGTAACATTTGCAATGAATGCCAGTAAGCTGTGCGCTCCTGCGCATGTTTGTGTTGATGTAGCTCTGAATATTCATAAATACTTGTGTTTGAGCAGAATAATGAGAATGTGACTCATTATCAAAACAGTCTGTTTGAATGGCTGTGTACACGTATCTGTCCGAGGAAGTGTTTCTGTGTGCGTGTGTGTGTTTAACGCTGTAGTTGGTGTGTAAACTGATTGTAGAAAAAGCAAAGCATGCAGAGAAAATCCCAGCTTGACCTGGCAGGCTGTTGTCACTTCTTTCAGGGCTCAAACAAACAGGGGGGAAAACCAGAATCGCCTCATTTGGCTAAGTCAACCGTCCCTGAACAGGACATGGCAGTTAAAAAGACTTGCTCAATAGACACACGGCCTAGAGTGATGAGACCTATAGGTCATGTTCAGGAGGAGCAAAGGACAAGAGAACTGGAATATCTGCATATTTCACGTGTCAAAATATATGCAGGGCATACTGTACAGGTGTGCATGTTAAAGAGCTGGAGAGCCTTTAGTTAATAGTTAGAAGTGTTATAATCCAACTGCAAATGCATGTGACGCTTATTATTCAATTGCAGTTATATTCTTTTTGAGTCGCATTGACTCCATACACCCTGTCTTGACTCCAGCGTTTTACTTTATTTTTCTTTTTAGGAAAGTTATGAAAAGGTACAAATAGGTCCTTTTCTCCTGGGAAAGCTAATGGAGTGTACTTTTAAAACTGAAAAAGACCATTGTTGTACCTTTCAGGGTACATTTACATTGTTTATTTCTTGGTGAACAATGTACCTGTACATCAGGTATGGTTGCATATTGCTAACTTATAGATTATTTGACTCCTAACTGTAGTGGAACCCTTTTGGTGCTGTATAAAAGATTTTTATAAGGAACCATCTTTAAAGAACCATATTCAAAAGGTTTATAAAGAAAAAGTATGTATAACTGTATATATATATTATATTATATATATATATATATATATATATGTTACTATATGCCCGTGTATCTATATATATATATATATATATATATCCGCATGTAACGCTTACATAAGTGCTTCCCTGCAGTACTTTCTTTTTTACAAATTTGTGTGTAATTTTACTTGAGTCAATGCGCGAGCCCTTTGCGCTTGTTTACGTGTAGGAGGGGGACGTCCACCATAATCCTGTGGCTCGTTGCATGTGCTGCAAATTCTCCAGCCTTTCATAATGGTTTTGTGTGGTGGCCTGTGGAGACACGCACAGCACATCTGAATGACCATTCAGCTTACACATGCACACGCTTAAGGCAGGACACCTTCCTCTAATGAGGAGCCACCCACAGCTCAGCGGCTCATGAGAAACCTAGATCTTTCATGTTGTGTTTTGTGGAACGTGATACATTTTATATCCATTTCTTTATATATACAGCGTGAAGTCGTATGAGATTCATTTACCAAAAATTTTGTGGGGAATTAGTTGTAGGAATCGAAGTGAAACTTGTTTCATTTTAGTAGCTTCTCAAGTGGAGAGAAACACAAAGAACATTTGGCCTCGTGTAACCCGTTGACCTTTGACACTGAGTGCTATTTAAAGCTTGTGCATCTGCAGTGTGCTTTCCTATATCGTCATTAGAAATGTTTCTCTGCATGTGTTTTTGTCAGTTTTGCGGCGCATACTGAGACATGTGGGTGGATTTCTCCAAATTTGCTCATGCGGTGTGTACACCACAAACTGGTAGGGGGTGCTCTAAGTCTTTAGGAGCTTCTTGCAATTGTAAAGCTTGACATTGCCCCCTCTCTCTTTTTCTTTTCGGAACTTGCGCTGCCCTCTGATTATAGCCTTCAGGAATAACGAGTGATAAGTGTGTTTATAATCTGTGCACTGTCTGTCATCCCCAGAGTATCATTCCCAATCCACACTTGCTACAAATCTCTTATCTTAAGCTGGATATAATTAATTCAATTTACTGGCATATAAATTTGTCCCTGGAGAGGGCATCTAAGTGGTACGGCTGATGAAATTACCACTCCATCAGGGTGATAATATCAGGTTTCGAGTTTTTGGGGTGATGTTTTTGAACGTTATATGGAAGTTATGATGTTTAGATACATACATTTGTGAAAAAAAACATGTCCAGAGCAGGCTGGTTAAAACATGCATTGTATATGACTCGTTGTTTGCTGGGCCGAAAATGTATCAGCTGTATGGCAATATGCAATTTTCTGGAAATGGAGATGGCAAGGTTTACAGTCAATCGTTAGATCTTCTCTATTTATTTATTTGCGCTCATTATGTTTCCATCAAGTGTCAAACAAGCTCTAAACCACACACCCTCTGATGACCTTTTGGTTAATTTGTGTTCCTAAAGTTAAGGTAGAAAATGTGTTTCGAGGATTGTTTAAAGAATTTAAAAGGATTTTTAAAGATTGTTTTTAGTTAGATTTTAATGTTTTTTTTATTGCATTATGATTATTTGCTTTTTGTGTTTATTCATTTTGTTTCTATAAGCTAGAAGCTAAAATACCAAATAAAAATAATAATAGTCATAAAACAAATCATATGGTTTGAATTTGTAATAATAATAATAATAATAATGCTAACAATAATAATAACATTGTCATTATTGTCATTATTATTATTATTATTATTATTATTATTATTATTATTATTATAAAATGACATAGATAATATAGCATATTGTTATTACATTTGGCCATAGATTGCAACACCACCTTTCTGTTTTATTCCCATGTTACATTACATCCCTGTAGTTCTCAGCCCCACCTACATTTTTGTGCCCCGTGCCCCATGGCAGTGCTGCACAGTTCTGGGGGGCGCATTCCTGTGGCATTGGCACTGTGCCATCTCCATGACATTTATGTTCCTCCTCTGGCGATGTTACTCAACCCCGAACGAACAAAACACGTCGAAGCCTCGCTCATCTCGCAGCGAGAGTGGAGTGCAGATGGCCAGGTGTGCGTCAACGGCCCGTCACTTACAGCACTTCACCAACGTTGCTGTTGTGGCTGCGCTTAGGCCGCCATCTCACAGGGCCTTCAGCTGCTGCTGGAACATGGCGGGACGATTTGAGTGGCATACAGAGTGAATTCGTCATCACTGTCACTTTCACGCACTGATCTCTGTCAGACGTACGGCTACACTGTATAGATATAAACCGTAGTGCAGTTATACTGCTACATATTGTGATATGAGTGAGCCATTTATGTGACATGGCCTGCATTATTTTGACCTACATGATTTATATTTGTTGTCCAAACACCCACAAAATCAACTTTGGGTGAGATGCTTACAGCACACGGTAAAAACATTTAGGGCTGGTTTCCCAGATAGAGATTAAGTCCAGTCTTGGACTGCTCAGTGTTTTGAAGGCTGATTTTCCATTGAAAGGAAAATGTAGTCCCTGATAAGGCTTAGTCACTGTCCGGGAAACCGGCTCTTAGTAATCTGCCCCATGTTTCAAGCCTTGTAATATCAGTACTGCAAAGGTCAATATTGCATTAATGATATAATAATGATGCAGTACTTGTCTCACTCTTAAAATTAAAGGTACCACAGAAGAACCATTACTGATTCCCTTCAGAAGCTTTCAGTAAATTTTTGTTTTCAGGCACCTTTTTTGAAAATAACTAAAAAAACAAACAAGCAAGCAAACAAATAAATAAAGAAAGAAAGAATGTGCACATAACGTAAGGTCTCCTAGGCCCATTTGTCTCAAAGAGCTTTTACTGTGAGAGAGCAGCTCTCACAGTAAAAAATCAAATCAAATCATGTTTATTGTCACATCACATTTACAAAGGTGCGAAGGTGAGTGAAAATCTTAGGTGCGTAGCCCCCTAGTAGTACTCAAATGTACAAAAAATTATAAGAAAAGAAACAAAATATAAACATATATGTACACACATTAGACTCTTAATACATATACATGTACACAATATATACATTAGTATACACCAGTATTGCACCATTCCAATATACAGTTTTGTAACAGTAATATAAGTTATGAAATAAAAGCTGTGATATGTACAGTTGTACACTTTCCCATAAATGCAATATGTGAGTCTGAGGTAGATAAATGAGATGCAGGATGCACGGGGGATAGAGGATTTATATACATATTTCATTTTATACAAGATATGGATAGAAGGTGAACAGGATGTCAATCTTAGACCCAACACAAGACGTATGAAGTACGTAATTAACAAAGAACAAGTATAGAAATCAAAAGTTAATACAAAACATGCATTTAAGTGACAGCAAGAAAGTTATAAGTGAAGTGAGAGGTTTGTATTTAAAGGACAAACGGTTGATACAGCTGTAAAAAGATGTAGGGGCAGGGTGTTCCAAAGCTTAGGGGCAATACAGGAATGCAGATTCAGGCAGTGAGATACGTGTGATGAGCAGAGCCTTCACAATTTGCTTGCAGTCTGCATATCAATGCATAGCAACTGAACAGAAAACATGCTGTATATCAAATAGATAAAACAATACAGTCTACATTTAGCCTTATGTGCATAGTGTATATGGATTTATAGCTAAAAATTACTATCAATATCAGTATCACTTGCATTAGAGTTTGTCTGGAAATGGAAATTTGTCATTTGTCTCAGTGTTTTGTTATGACATGCCACATTAAGCACAACTTATATACAGGTTACATATATATGAACACAATATTGCGTCAGAGACCACTATTCATTTATTTGATTTCCAATCAAAATAAGTACAAGTTATTCACTTTTCAGTGCAAGGAAAAAAGCACAAAATATATATTTAATGTAAAATGACACCGAAGCCTCAACAACTAAATATAATATTACAGTTTCCATTCTTTTTGAGAGACTTTCAGTTAAAACCTGCTGTATATATATATATATATATATATATATATATATGTATAATGACTCAGAAACTGAGAGCAGCTTGATAGAAGAGTGAAGACACCCATCAGACAGGACAGTGAAATGTTCACATGGGGCGCAGTGGGTATCCTTAACCGATCTTTCCCGGAGTGCACCTGCGCTGCGCTTTGTGTGAAAGCTGAGGCGGCCTGCGGCTCTCCGGAGCACACACGCACTCTCTCACCCTGTTTGTGGCTTCAGCAAACGCTCTTCAGCATCCTCTGATCTACCTGTACAGTGCATGTGCATCTCTCCAGCATCCGGTCCAGCGTGCACAGAACTAGACCGGAAGCAGAGATGCCACTGCAGGATTGTGTGCTTTTGCACTGCTATCACACATACACCTTGTCTGATCTCAGTTTGTAGTTCACAGGTGTTTAGGCTTTGCGGTGCGTGATATTGCAGCATGAAGAAAGTAGAACGGCTGCTAAAGAGGAAGGCATGGTGTAGCTGTAAGGCTCTATGTGCATTATAAGAAGGATACAGTGCATCAGTTACGTTAGTTTTTAAATGACATGAGTGCATGTGTGTTGTGGTCACTTTGAGGTCTGGTCGAAGCTATGAAATATGGAATATGGCCTTAGTGTTGAGCATATTTTTGGAGTGTGAGATGCAGGGTACTTAGTTATTTTCAAATGAAAGCAATTACGTCAAATAACTGGAAACAAATCGGCTCTTCTGAAGAGAAAGAAAAGGCTGGTATCCAGAAAATTAACAACAGTATCGACTTATTGATGCTGTGGGTGACATAACTCATTGCTCAGCTCCAATCTGCACAGAATGTATCATAGGTACCACAATGTGTCACTGTACAAATATCCACATCATACTGTAATGTACTGTGTGTATGCACTGCTGTATCATGTGGAGAATGTGCACATATGTAGGCTACATATTCACATATTCACCACTACTTTTTTATACCTCTATTATGTTATAATTATATTTTATTTGAAAAGCACCTACTTTGTTGTAATTTGTATTCCACCTGAACATATGTTGATCTTCTGCCCTGTATGTGAGCACACACTTCATTCTTATAACTGTATAACATATGTACTAGCTTCATACCAGTTACTGAATAATAAAGGATAATAGTCCACCAGTCGTGGTCTGTTAGTCATAGTATATGTCTGTCAAAACATGCACTGGCCTTCTCTGTCAAGACATACTCCTTATGTAAATTTAAAATCACAATCACAATCAGAACAGAATCACAAACAGAATCACAAACAGAACAAAATCACAATTAGAATTCCAGATACAGTCACAATCAAAACAGAATCAAAGTCAGAATCACAATCAAAACAGAATCACAATGAGAATTCCAATTGCAATCACAACAAGAACAGAACTAAAGTCGGATCAGAATTAAAGTCAGAATCACAAACAAAACAGAAACAAATTCAAAACAGAATCAAAACCAGAATCACAATCAAAACAGAATCATAGTCTGAACAGAATCAAGGTCAGAATCATTATCAGAACAGAATCACAATAAGAACAGAATTAAAGTCAGAATCAAAGTCAGAACAAAATCACAGTTAGAACAGAATCACAATCAGAATCACAGTCATAATCAGAACAGAATCACAATCAGAATTTTAGTTACAATCAGAATCACGATATGAGCAGAATCACAGTCTAAATTAGAATCACAATCAGAACGAGAGAGAGTTACAGCCAGAATTAGAATCAGAGTCACAACCAGACTCACAATTACAGTCAGATTCACAGTTGCAATCAGCATAGTTTTGTTAATGCAGCGTTAACGTCTTTTCCGCCTTGTCCCTTCTCTTTCCTTCACAGATGACTCCACGCATGACGTGGACACTGATGGCCACTCTCCTGACTCCTCTCTGGTCAGCCCAGTGGCTGGTGCGGCCGGAGAGAGAGACTTGCTGACTTGCGGCCAGTGCCAGACCAACTTCCCCCTGGGAGATATCTTGGCCTTCATTGAGCACAAGCGGAGGCTGTGCAGGGGCGCGGGCAGTTGCTATGAGAAACCAGGTGATAGGGGCAGTGGACCCTCGTCCCCCAGGCCACTGCGGGCCGGTCCCGTGGAGATCGGTATCCAGGTGACGCCGTTCGGGGAGGAGAACGAGGAGAAACGGCTGACACCTGCCAGAGGAATCTGCCCCAAGCAGGAAAACGTCCCGACAGGTATGTGCAGGACAGATGCGTTGTAGAGCTGAGAACTGGCAGAAAAGTATGGGAGCTACACACTCACGATGTGAGGTGTTTGGTAGTGTGTACTGCCACACGCAGACACAACAGGTCAAAAGATTGGAAGTAACACTAACTTTGGAAAAATAAAAAAAGAAGAATTATTTTTTGTGAGTAATGTCTGCAGTAATACACTCGTAAAAAGTGTTAAAAACAATCTGTCTCTAACTAGAAACATCAGTGTGTTCAGTTGGAGACGACACACTTTCTGTTAGTTATAACACAAAATGTGTTGAAATATTCTGTGCCCAGTTATGCAAAACATATTTTGGGTTATTTTTAACACAGAATATGTTAAATAAGAAAAGAATGTGAAAACACAAAAAGTGTTAAACTGGGTTATACAAGTTAGAGTGTCGTTATTCAACACACCACTTTTTTATTTTGTAGTGTTCAGTTAACAGATTCAGAAAGTGCTGCAGACAGTTATGCCATACACATACACAGCACAGGTCAAAACGTTTAAAAGCAACAAAAATGCGTCAGAGTTAAGGTGAATATTTCATTTTCAAAAGATAACAGACAATAATCTTTACATTAGCAGAAAAAAATAGAAATGTATGACTTATATCTTCAGCAGTAGTGTGCAACTAAATAACTGTGGTGGTGCATCAATTATAATAACAGGTGTTAAAGTTTAACAGTAATACAAGAAATTAAAGTTGAGTTTGATTTTATTCCATTATAGATGCTGTTCAAGAAAATATTCATTTAAATAATATGACAATTTAAAATAACATGAAGCAATAACAGATCAAATAAAAAGATCAGAACACTTTTAGGCTTTTAGGCCACTCTTTAATGCCATTTAGAGCTTTAGAAACTAGTAAAAGAACTTTTTTTTTGTTTTTGTTTGGACCCATGCTGTTGCATTTTGTATGAGTTTAAAGGATGGATTGTTTGCTTAGGATGTCCAGAAAGAAGAGCGTTACGGTAATTAACTCTGCTTAAATGTGTTTTTGTGCAGCGCTAGAGAGAGATTGAAAAGGTCGAAGCAACATTTCTCAAGTTATAAAACGCTGTTTAGGTGATTGTGTTTACATGCAGGATACAACAGAGTTCAGAATCAGGTTTTGTACTTGCCCACACGTGTATGCTGCAGGTCAAGGGTTTGGTATCTCACTGGGCCAGATGTGATCTTGTAACGGGAATGTCTGGGGACAAACATGAGAAATTTTAGGCTTAATGTGGGGATGTAGACTTATGAGGGTGGAAACAAACTGAGTGTGAAATTTCTAAAATTATCCAGTAACCCCCCCCGAAAAAAAGAAAAAAAGAGAAATATATTTATTGACACAAAACAAAGTTTGACTGTACACTGAAAAAAGTAATGCATTGAATATTATTTCCATATTAATGCCTATATTACATCATCAAAATTTCACAAAAAGTAAGTATACAGAAGGACACAAATGTAAACACACACAAATATAGTATGTTATTCACATGGAAAGGATGTCCACATTTGAATCAAGTAAATTCAATACATTACTTTATTCCAAAAATGTCTGCAGTTATAGTGTGTGCAGTAAGTGATAGTTAATGAGTTGAGCTCCTGCTGATTCTCCTACAGAGTTTTAATGTAGCTCTAATCAGATCCACCTGATTCCTCTATTCAGATTCTCCTGAAGGTTCATCAGCTCAATCAGATGTTACCACAGGAGAGTGAAAAGAATTAAAAACTGATCAGTATGCTAGAGTTCGACTAAAGCTCGTAACTCCGAATTTCTGAATTTCTGACTAGGAAAGAGCTCCCATCAGCTCGGAATTCCTACTCAGAAAGTCAGTGAGGAGTTCTCAGCTCCGAGTTAAGCATTAACCGTCATATTAACATTGCTGTTCACACCACCAATGGTCATAAAGTAGCACTTCTCTACTTCTCTCTAAATGAGATTATAGGAATATTTGCCTTAAATCTGAACTGCCCAAATTTGGCCTGAGACACCTGCCTCCACACTCAATGAGAGAACAAACATATCTTATACTATTAACCTATTAAATTCTCATTTTCCCTTAAAACTGTATTAAGTATTGTAGTAGTCAAATATAAAATTTTATAAAATCCATTTTGAAACTATACTTGTTTTAACCTACCTACCTTTTTTTTTGCCCCTCTGCCCACCACAAACATTGCACAGGATAAAAGGTTTTGGCACCTCTGCTTTAGATAAATCAAAATACATACACATTAGTTGGTTAAATCTGTAACATTGACCATTCACTCATATCTTTAACTGCTGGCTAGTTTGCCAGCAGTACTCGCTTTCAATGAAACATGAAAATGCATAATTCATCATTTATATCAAATGCAACATAAGACCAGCGGAATGTTCTGGATCAAACTGCTTTGGACATCAAAACATGTTATATGTTCTGTTGGGCAACTGATGTAATTGTACTGCTTGCCCTGCTTGGGTCCAACTTTTGGCCTGTAGCGTAAGTGTGTGCCTGTACCTGTGCATGCAGTGGCCCCAAAAAGAATTTGGACACTTTAACCATTTAAGCATTGGTAAACATTAAACGTGAAACGTGAAACACTTCTAGCACAACATCAAGCTGTAAGGGAGAAAGCCTGGACAAGAACTCCAACCAGACTGCACTTAGGGTTCTGTGAAACACAGAGGTGGAAACCTCAAAGTCTGGGCCTGTTTTTCTTACAGTGGTGTCGCTGAGCTTGTGTTCATTGATGGGATCATGAAGTCAGAAGAATACAGAGACATTTTAAATGCAAACCTGCAAAGAAACTGCTCAAACAATAACGACCTGAAGCTCATCAGCCACCTTTTAGAAGAATACTTTGCCAATAAGGAGAAAGACAGGAGTGGAATGGTCTGTTTAAAATAAATGCCACTTGTTTTGTCATTTTTTTCCTTAACACAATATACTTAACACATTTTTAAGTATGGCACAAATGTCAAAATACCTTTTGGGGCCACTCTGTTAACTGACAGGATTAACTGACACATACTGTACGTACTCACACTTGGAAAGCCCAATCTTGAACGTCCTCACCTGTTCTTCACGGAGAGCTTCCGTCAAAGATTTTTCCGTTTGGCTTTGACATGCGCCTTCAAGAGGGATTAATAGCTGTCAGATGATTTCATTAGAACTGCTCTCTCTCTCTCTCTCTCTCTCTCTCTCTCTCTCTCTCACTGTGAGTAAAACATCATATAGCAGCCTTGAGCACTTTGGCAGCTGAGAATAATTTTGCTAAAAAAAAGTAGAAGAAAAAGAAGAAGCACAAGCTCACCCATGTTTGAGGGAAATTTAGTGTATTAAAAAATGTTAAGGAAGCTCATTAAAATTCAATAGCTGTGAGAAACAGAGACGTATTAATAACAGATTTCGCATTCGGTTAGGTGAAAGAGGCTGCAGAGCTGTGGAACTGCACACGCTCAACATTATCATGGTCTCTAAACTGCAGCTGACAAAATACACACTAGGGCTGTAGTGCTGTCCAAAACATTGAGACAACAACTAGCCTTTAAACCCCTTCAGTCCAAATTTCTTGGTCTTTTTTTTTCAATAGTTTGCTGGAGCTTTACATCTTACATCTAGTTACTTGGGACGACAGATTTAACACACAGGGCCATTGCACACTCGGCACACAAGCATAACATCGTTTACTATAGTGTCATATTGCATTGTGTAGCATCACATAGCAGAAAGTAAAAAGCGCAGCTACACCACATAGAATTTGTTGCAGTGAGAGTGTTGATAAGCGTTAAGCTGAAGTTAATGTTGCATAATCAGTATATAGATTTGATGGAATAAAACTTTCAATATCATTTAGTGAATTTATCATGTTCATTAATTATTTATTGACAAATTCATTGTTTTCCAGCTAAAAGGCATGAAAAAAGGCTAGGCTAGTAATGTTGGTAATGCTAGTAATGTAGGCTGAAAAAAGGCTAGGCTAATAATGTTAGTAACACTAGTAATGTTAGTAATGCTAGTAATATATGCTGACAAAACTGGGCTAGTAATGTTAGTAACGCTAGCAATGGTAGTCAGGGAGCCTTGAAAAACTAAGGTTTATATTAAAGATTTTGGACTGACTGTCTCTGACTTTCTCTGGGTGATTTTAAAGCCCCATAACACATTGTTTCTAATTGCATTCTGGGTTTATGCAGTAATAGTTATTACTGCCATTTTGTGTTACTGTTTAAATAAAATGATATATTTATATATTTTATTACATATTTATGTACTGAATTACATTTACATTCCTCTCATCATTACATTTATATTACTCTTTACTGTTTGTTTCGATGTCAGGAATTGACAACAATATAGACAAAATCAAATTCAAATCATGATAAAATATCACCTCTTCTATTTACAGACACAAATTAGGTATGAGTGGAAAGTTTATAATTTAGAGTCCATTTATCAGTGTTGTCAGATGTATGGAAGTTTTTTTTTTTTAGTTTTTCTGAAGACCATTGTGCTTCAACATTCTGAATTTCTTGACCAGACTTCCATTTATAGCTTCCATTTTTTTCAGTTGATTGCTTTCAGTTTTTCAAAGAAATCTGCAGAGATATTTTTTCCACACCTCCAAAGTTCAGTCTTAGAAGTTGGTTTCTTTTTCAAATTCTTACAATCCAAGTAATTCCAAACACATTCAGTGATGTTGAGGTCTGGGCTCTGGGGTGGTCAGTCCATTGTTCAGCTTCTTTGTTTGATGCATCTCCTTTTCTCAGTGAAGCTTCTTGACAGCTACACATCTCACATTTCAGACTCATAGTGCTGAGTTGTCTTCTCACAGTGGAAGGATGGACAGAAACACCTGTGGATTTTTTCAGATCTGAAGCACCTTGATTTTCTCCTCTCTCTGAAAGATGAAATCTTTAAGTGCTGTTTATCTGATGGGGGCAGTTTTGGTGGTCTACCAGGTCTTGCAGGTGGTTGTTAGGAGTCCCATTTTCTCTGTA